GCTGGACGATTTTCTTGATGTAAAAAGCAAAATGATTGATAATTCGCGATCTATATGTTAAACTACCGTGCATTTGGGGCCATTATCGGAGAAATAGAATAATAAAGGTCGAAATATTGTCGCCATTTTGATAAATGAATATGTTAAGTATGTAATGTTGCCAGCTAGTTTTTTTTGCATAACAGAGGGTATAATAAGAAAAATAGTAAAATGCGAATTTCTCTAAAACTGGCTGGACGATTTTCTTGATGTAAAAAGCAAAATGATTGATAATTCGCGATCTATATGTTAAACTACCGTGCATTTGGGGCCATTATCGGAGAAATAGAATAATAAAGGTCGAAATATTGTCGCCATTTTGATAAATGAATATGTTAAGTATGTAATGTTGCCAGCTAGTTTTTTTTGCATAACAGAGGGTATAATAAGAAAAATAGAAAAATGCGAATTTCTCTAAAACTGGCTGGACGATTTTCTTGATGTAAAAAGCAAAATGATTGATAATTCGCGATCTATATGTTAAACTACCGTGCATTTGGGGCCATTATCGGAGAAATAGAATAATATAGGTTGAAAGATTGCCACCTTTTCGTTATTATACGTGCATAAATACTTAAATGCATAGGTGTCGTCTTTTGCAGCAGTCTATTTTACCAAAGATAATGTTTTATTGTAAAATGACAATTATTTTATATATTACTGCATTTCTCTTTCATATACAAGTATTTTGAATTAATTTGTTCCCGCCCAATACTTTATAACATTGTTCAACACTGATTCCGAGCAGTGGTTCGGTTCCCGTTGGAGCTAGTAGCTCGATAGGCATTTTGAATGAACAACATGAGGTGTGCTTACATTTTGCCATTTTTCTAAAAAACTGGCTGATCGATTTGCTTAGAATTAATGCGTAAAGCTTCCTTAAACATGTATCTTCAAGTTGGTATACCGTGCATTGAGGGCCATTATCCCTGAGAAAAGTTATTAGGGTTCAAGTGCAAGGGTGATTTTTTACGGTCATTTTGTATGGGGCTAGCAACGAGGTTGCTGCACTGTAGTACAAATATCTTAAAAACGTGCTGATCGGTTTTTATAATTTTTTCACGATTGGATAGGTGAAACTATAGACTTCAATCGTGTGTATGCGGTTTTCGGGGCCATTATCCCTGAATTAAGATATTTAAAGAATGGCGAAAACCTAACTTTTCAACCCCTTTGTTTACCCATATTATAAATTAAAATTCAAAAATAAATGAATGTAGATAGTAAATAATTTAATTTTTTGCAATTCTGCATTTAAATTTATTTGGTTTCGTGCTTAAAAACATAAATAAATGCATTTGAAAGTGACCGATAGTTTTCCGATAACAAGTACCAAAATTCGACGCTAAGTCACCGCCGCTAATTTGACGCACGTCATAGGCTTGGCATCTTTTAACTTCAGAAAGTATCAATTGATTTACAGCACAAAAGTCCTTTGCCTGCACTTTCCGTTTTCTTTGGCAATCGTTGATTATACGATTAGCCAATCGTATATGTACATATATATACATATATACAAAATTGCGTGCCAAGACAAAATGAAACGCCCTTTCGCAGACAAACAGCAAAAACGCGCACAAGCTGCAAAAAAGTAGCGAAAAAAGAGTTTTTCAGCTGTTTTATTTATTTGTTTGCTGATTATGGAATTGTTAAGGACAAAAATGCGAACAATTTGAAGGTCTGCCCGGCACCAGGCTTATTAATTGGAACAGCTGCAAAACAAATTGGTGAAAATTTACAGGCAAAATGTGTGATATAAATAAGTTTAAATAAATACTCTTAAAGCTAATACTTAAAAGTCGTATAAGTTCCACATATTTATCCTGAAAACCTTTTTTCTAGGGCATTTAAACTTCGTTGAATAGCTGAAGGAAAAAACATTTTTCGTTGTGTGAGTTTTCATATTAATTAATTTCCATTTCCGTTTTGTTATCATGCGTACGCCGATTTTTACCTTTATGCAGACTCAACAATTAATCAAGTTTAATTACGCCCAACGTTAGGAGTTAGCCAGCCAATGCCAGCACCCTCTCCCCCCTCTCTCTTTAGAGATTCTAGGCTACATTGGGCGCATTAATCACTTGAATATGCCCAACATTTCTCATGTGAGTGAGCCCAAGAGTGGGAGGAGGGTTGTGGGCGGTGGCCAAGAAGATAAGACTAAGAGTCTCATAAAAAGGACGTCTCACGTAAACAATGCATTTAAATATTTGTAGGATAAAGTACCATTGTCAGATCATTTAATGACCTAAATGGTAGCTTAATATTTTCGTAACTGAAAATATGTTCAAAATGTTTTAGCAAAGACACATCGTCCACTTGGAGTCCACAAATGTTACACGCCTTAGCGAGTGCAACAACCAGCACTGCCTTGCAAAAGCTAAACGCTATGGGTAGCTGTGCACTATGTGGACTGTAGACTGTGTATGTTGTCCTCAGTGAGTCTTTTCTTATACTAAGTGTGCTTCACATCGTTATACCCTAGAATAACCTTTTTTTATTAAATAGTTTAGGCAACACCTTACACTGCTCTTATTTGAACCTTGACAAGGCGTGTCGTCTAAACTTACCCTACCTGTCGTGTTATAACCGATATTGATGGCTGATTCTTGGCAAAACTAATAAATAATAAAACATATAAACGTAAAACAAGTTTATGCAACCAAAAATATGTTTACGAAGGTTGATTACTTGCAAATTATATTAAAAACCGTATTCTTAAAAATTACTGTATTATTATAATTTTACTTTTCTCAAATTCTATAGTTATATCGTTGCAATTTCGTAAAAATGTATTTTAAATAATTTAAACAGTAACATTATACATTCACCAAGTATTTATTTTTCTCGTTTTCATGCGCATTTGTGTTCGCAAATTCAAGGATTCCCCATATGTATTAATGCGCAATCACACACACACACTTGCACATGCGTGTCAACTGATGCCGCCGACCTCCAGCTTTGTATCTAATTGACCGCAACATTGTGAATGCAAACAATTCACAGCTGAAATTTAACAACAATCAAATGCAGTTTCGGTGTTTCAGAAAAAATTAAGACGATCTTTGTATGCGCAATTGGAAGATATCTTAACATATGCGAATTTGTTGGCTGGGCATTTCCGCCCACACCAACACACACACAGCAAAATTCCACATGGCTCTGCTGTCTGTCAAAATTGCCAAAAACAACAATAATGGCAACTACAATAACAACAGATGTTCGAAGCTGCGCGAAAAGGTAAACGAGTTGCGCTTACGAGTGGGTACGAAGAGAGCAAGAGAGCAACTTTACTTAAGTAACAACAATTGTTGTTGTGTGTGTGCATGTGTGTTTGTATGTGGGAGGCATGTAACACTGACTATGACCTCAAACCACCCACAGCTACTATACTGGCTGCCTGCGCTAGCAGCGACGCTAACGTTAACAGCCACTTTGCATTTTTTCGAAGCAATTTTTGCATTTGCTGACGTCACAAGCAACAAAATGCTGTTGCTGAAATTGCCAATGTTGTTGTTGTTGTTGATTGTTGTTAGTTGGTTATTGGTTAAGCTGCTTGTTGTTGTGCCCACAAAAGGTGCGCTTACAATTTTCTCCACTTTCTACAAGAAAAATGTGAGAAATCAAAAAGATGCCACCGCTTTGTCTCTCTCTGTGTATGTGTCTATTTGTATATGGGCCTCAGTGTATATGTGTCGGCCACAAAAGTTCACTGGGAAAGCAGCATAAGACTGAGTTACTGTTGAAATGAAAATAGACCGCAATTTATTGATAAAATCAATCAAAATGTAGCGCTGATAAGTTTGCTCTCAGTGTTAATTTTTTTTTACTCAGACAAAGGCAACCCTTTCAGAACAGATGGCTGGCTGGAGCCCAAAAGCAGCGCCGTCAACGTCGTAGGCGGCATTCCATTGATGCAAAGTGGAAGAACGTCGAAAAAACGTGTATGGTTTCAATTGCCGATAGGCAGCGAGGGGTGCCAAGTATAAATGGGACTTCAACAAGACGTATTTTCATGCTAAAAACGTTCAAAATGTTTGTTTACAATTTACAACAAAATGTTCACACACGCACACAACAGCAAAATACAGAGCGGTTAAGAGAGCAGCAGCTACATTCTAAATGTGAGAGCAGCGATGAGACTGAGTGCCGATCGAATAAGTATTGAATGAGTATCTGTGTTGATCGCTTGTTGTGATTAAAAGGCTGTGTGTGTATGCAAGTATTTGTGTGTATAATTTTGTGGGGGGATGACATCACCGCACGTTGCTGTCGCAAAGTTCGCACTGTAGCATTTTCTGCGTCTCTCACTTTGCTAAATTTACTGCTCTCAGTGTCTCTTGGAGAAGCCAACGTTGGTTGTGCATGTGTGCCTTGAGAGCACAGTGGGCTAACGTACATTGTGTTGATTGACATGTTTTCAGTATATGTGTAGGAATAAAACAAAATAGTGCTACACGATACGTCCTTATGTATTTTATTTGTAAGCTGTAACTTACATTTATAATATTAAATATATTTCAAATTATAATATCCACATATATGTATATGTATGCAAAACCTAATATTCGTTTTTGCAAGGCTTAAAGTTTACAATAGGCAATAAAAAATCGAAAATATTATGTAGCGTAAAAGCGATTTTAAATGCAATAACGCATTTTCAATGCACGCAACAAGGGACAATGAAACATTTAAAATAAGCCTTGCAGCACTGTGCACTTGCACGTAGGCGCAGCAACAACTCAAGTCGATTTAATAGTTGGCCAGCAAAATGAAGAGAGAGCACGAGAGAGAGAGAGAGAGAGAGAGCGCGTGCCTGCTTGAGCTTACGCCAACGCTTACTTTTCATTTTTGCTGTTGTGTGGCTGCTGCATGCATGTGTGTGTGCGTGTGTATGTGTGCGAGTGGCGCTCTCTGCTTTAGGCCAGGGGGTCTCTCCATATTCAATCAGTCGTTCGGAATTCGCGAAACTATGCGGTCGCCGTACGAAGATAGTGCTGCCGTGTCTACGGATAACAAGTATCACACCAGCTACAGCTATAATAGCCACACGAATAATAATAACAATAATTACCATAAAAACTTTAATGGCAACGGCAATGGGATACCCTATCACGCGCGCGAAAATTCATTGCCCTTTAGCTATGGCAATGCCAAAACGGCGACGCCGCTGCGCAAAACGCCAACGCCAACGCGCGCCGATAGTTTTCTCGACTTTGATTTTGGCTTAAGCAGCAATAGCAACAGCAGCAACAATTATAACAATAATAATATTAATAATAATAACGATAGTGGTAGTGGGAGTGATATGATAAAGCCGCAGCCACGTTTAACGAGCCCTCTGCTGGTGCGCAAAACACTCGGCAGCCGTGTGAATGCAAATGGCAACACGAATGGCTTGAAAATGAATACGAGTACGAATACGAATACGAATACCATATCGAATACCTATCATTATGGGTCAGCGGCGAGTGTGACACCGCCGCGCGTCGACTTCGAGCAGCAGCTGCGCGAGCGGCGCGACAAAGTCTACAACGAGTATCGAGAACGTGAAAAGGAGCGTGAATTGGAACGTGAATTGGAACGTGCTGCGGCACGTGTGCCGCCCACGCCTCCGCTGCGACGCCAAAGCAACGGGCTGAGTCACAGTAAATACAATTATGATTTTGAGTTCAATTTAAATTTGGATGATATCAACGAGCGCAGCTCGCTGCCAGCGCCAGCCCCAGCGCCATATAATACACGGAATATAGTGTATCGGCAGGATATGGATGTGCCGGATGGTGCGATCAGTGGCAACAGTAGGCGCTTGGAGTCCACAATTGTGGAACGCAATTATCACACAATTAACAGAAGCAGCCACAACAACAACAGCAGCAGCAGCAGCAGCAGCAACAACCACTACCACAGCTTGGAACGACCTCCAATGGAAGTGACATACAAACAGCTAGTGGAGCCACAGATGGAGCAGCAGGCGCACATTTATGGCCAGAACCAGCTGCATCTGGAGACGCACACGCGAAACCGTCGCGATTTGTCGCCCATTTATGCCATCAGCACAAAACGCAACACGGCTGCAGCTGCTCCAAATAGCAATGGACAGCAGCAGGCGGATTACCTGTTAACACCCAGTCCCACTAGCCGGCCAGAGACGCCCGCTTTTCCGGTCACGCCACGCACACCGTTCGGCAGCAGCACCTTGCAGCGCGCCTCGCCCACCACCGAGTCCATATACCAGACGATGGCCTCTGCCCGGCAGCGTCTCAACTCAGCGCCGTCGCCCACCTTTGAGGTGGCGGCGGATTTGGTGAAATTTGCACGCAACTCGGCCAAATTCTGGTACAAGCCCATGCTCTCCCGGGAGGATGCCATTGCGCTGCTGATGAATGCACCGCCGGGCACATTCCTGGTGCGTGATTCGACCACCTATGCGAATGCCTACGGTTTGGTCTTGCGCGTGGCCCAGCCGCCGGCGGGCAGCCATGAGCTGGTGCGTCATTTTCTCATCGAGCCCACGCAGCGTGGCGTCCATTTGAAGGGCTGCGACAATGAGCCCACGTTTACCTCGCTCTCGGCATTGATCTATGAGCATTCCATTAACAAGCTGGCGTTGCCTTGCCTGCTGCTCATACCCGAGGCGGATGTGGTGCCCGGACTGGCGTCCACAACGGCGGCACAGCAGCAGCTGCTCACCCACGGTGCGGCAACCAATGTGCTGTGGCTCTACAGCTGCGATACGGAATCCCTAACCGGTAACGAAGCCATACGCAAGGCCATACGGCTCATGTACGCACAGAAGCCGCTGCCGACGCCCACCGAGGTGCACTTCAAGGTCTCCGGCCAGGGCATCACGCTGACGGACAACACACGCAAGAAGTTCTTCCGGAAACACTATACGGCCGATGTGATCTCTCACTGTGCCATCGACCCGGAGAACCGTATGTGGAGCAACAATCCCAACGAATCCGACAAGAAGACCATCTTCGCCTTTGTGGCACGCAGATCGCACAGCTCCAAGGATAACCAGTGTCACGTCTTCTGCGATCTATCTGTCGCCCAGCCCGCGGCGGCCATTGTCTCCTTTGCCAATCGCACGCTGCCCACCGAGAAGCAGCGCAACTATGTGCTTTGAGGAGCGGCCGGACATGGAATGCGCCACCGAAAGGCACCGAAGGTGAGTTGCTGGCCATTTGGTATTGGCCATAAAGTCGAGCCTAATGTCTTGGGTGCGGCATCCTGAGGCGTCCATTCAATTACAGTAGACCCTCAATTCAGCGAACCCTTTTAGAGAGATAATACTCCATGAACTCAGTTCATTTATTTATTTTAACTTTATTTAAAGGCATTTTTTAGTTTCAGTATTGAATTTTTCCAGTGTTGAAAAATACTCTATACTTTAAGTATTTTATAAAGTTTTCTTTCTTAAACTTTAGCTTTAGAAATAGCCTTTGTAAAACTTAAACGGGTAAAAAAAACATAAATAAATACATATATTAATTTTTGTTCATTATGTCCGAAAAGCTTAAAGTCTTGTTACAGACTTTCTATAATATAGATATATTTAATATATTATAGTATATGTATATAGAAATTTGTTTGTTTTTTTTTTTTAGTTCTTCTTCTTCTGATTCTTCCTTAGCCTTTGTTTTCATCTTTAAACGGAATCCACTCTTAGTACAAACTTCACTCAACTAAAAAATACGTTTACAGCCCATGATTTTGTTCATCATACAAAGTGTTCACTGTACATGCAAAAGTTCCATCATTTTTAGCGTCAAACGGAAAACGATTAAAATTGTTTCAGTTTCTTTGGCGTTTCTTTGGCTTTTCCCCTTGTTTGTTTATTTAGCATATTGCCCCCCGTCTCGTACGGCCTGTTTGTTTGTTTTATGGTCTTCATATACACATACATCCACACATACGTACGTACATACATATATACCAGGCCATATAAACACGGTCTAAAACACATTTCTGACGTTAGTTTTTGTTTTTTTTTTTTTATTTTTTCGCAACGGAAGTTTGTGTCATGAGTCAGTTGCCCAAAATATGATGTAGAATAGAAATCGGATTGGTTTTCGATCTGTAAAGGCGTTGGTTTCGATTATATGGTAGCTGCTCTTAATGGGCCCGACACAAACACACACCTATGTGGAACTACTATTTAAGGCGTTTCGCTATATGTTTGATTAATTTGCCCGCCTCACGGTCATGTGCCTGAGGTCGCCCGATAAGGCCCACAGTCCCAACTATGCTCGGGCATGCTTATGGGACAGTTTTGCTTGATTACTCACATATCATTTCGCTATCAGTCGCTGTTCTAATCGAGTTTCAGACAGCTCGACTGTATTAGGTATCGATATAAATGATTGGGAGTATCAGCTTTCGATTAATTTCAGCATATCTTATCTAGAAACTTAAAGCTTATTTAAAGTGAAAGTTTTGTGTCTGAAAGTATTTAATGAAAGGAAAGAAATAATAACTAGAAAACACTTGAAAGCTGACTTTCATACACATATGAAGAATGTTTTCACTTGTTACAGTAAGTTTTTTGTTTTCCCTTAATGATATTATTTTGTTTTCCAACATTTGTTAAGCTACGGTAAACTAGAGTATATTTTTTATGGCGCCAATACTTTGTTTTCCAACATTTTTAACATTTTTAAGCACGTTTTGTATTAAAAGAATTCGTATTTTAATTTTATTTTAATTTCTTGCATCAAAACACATTTTATACTTGGCTTTCCAACAAATTTTTAATTATCTCATATGTTGTAGAATTATGTACAATATTTTTCACACCTGAGATTATCAAGATCCTTCGAATAATTCTCGCACATTTCAAGGCAACAAGTTTCATACATTTGGAATTTTTCTCAAGCTTAAGCAAATATATGTATATTATATACCTAGTATTAGTAGGAATCGTATATAGCGCAAATGTTTAAATAAATTCCGTGGAAATACGCATATAGACGAGCGTCAATTGCGCATTTTAGAAAACGCAAAAGAGAACGGAGGCAAAACAAATTAATTCCAGACGTGTTTTTTATTTGAATTTTTATTTTTATTTCTTTGGTTTTTTTTTGCATATTGCTTCCAGCGATTTCGCAGAGCTGGCGCGTAAAAGTAACAGTAAATATAATTGAATATTCTAAAAATAAAAATAAAATTGCTAAAGCTTAAGAATGAACAGACGTCAATTCGCTCTATTCCAAACACCACCCCCCCCCCTACCTGCCCTCTTCACCTTTAAACGACGTTTCGCTTAGCCGGATTAAGCGTTCCGTTTGATCTACAATTAAGCAATTAAAGCAACATTTATAGAATAAACCGATTTTATGACCTTTTGTGTTCAACTAAATGCCATTTTTAATGTATGTTTTTATGTACCATTTTTTGTTTCAGGCGACTTACCGTTAAGTCTGTACAGTGTTGTACAGCGCACATAAATTGCAAATGTCACGAGCATTACACGAAGCAACAGCAAATAAAATATAACAACAAATATATTAACAATATGATGTCACTTACACACACACACACACACACTTAAGTTGACTAGGCGCACAATGGAGCAAATCACAGTGCATATACAAACATATATATAAAATAAATTTGTATGGGTAGAAAAAATAGTTTCGTTCTAAAAATCAAAAAGTATATACAGTACGCCCTCGCTCAACTCGACCTCTGAAAATTGGACCAATTGCGTGGCTGTTGCCTTAAAATGCCTTTTATTCACAAGAATCTTGAAGTAATTAGAATAAATCTGTGTGTACAATAATAATTTCATTTTATTTAATTTATGTTTGGAAAAAGGTAAGTTTCTTACAAAGGTAATTTTCTTACAGAGTTAACTTTCTTACCGAGGTAATTTTCTACATTTTCTAACAGAGTCCAAAATGTTAAGAATTCGAGTGTTGCGTGTATTAGGGTTTGCGTAGAGCGAGTACGTACTGTATTTTTTCCGGGTCTTTATCACAGATCTATTATGCTTATATAACTAAAAATTATGTTTTATTGGCTAAGAATAAATATCAATAAAATTGTACTTGTATCTTGAAACCTAAGCAAGTCAAATTGTACAGAAAATAATCGAAGCAATCTATCAGCAAATGATATTTAGTTAGCTTAAGCTTCATTATTATTTTTATAATAATATTCTACAATTTCTACAAGCCAAGATTGTTTTTTGTGCTTTGTTCAAGCGCTTTTGCTTCACCGTGCTCAGATTTAAACGAATTAAGATACCTGAAACAAATAATATGCTATGTGTGCATAATTTGTATGTCTGTTTATATAATGTAAGTTTAAAGGCTAAAATATGCCACACGAAAGCTAATTTATCTAATATGTATCTGTAAATGTTCGATACAAATAATATTAATTTTAGAAACAGGCGCGAAACGTAATAAATGTTAATTTAATTCACAATTTTCGACAAATAAATAAATAATAATAATACAAAATTAAATATTGCAAACGCTAAACAAGTTTGCCATATAATTTATATCCTTACGTAATATGTGTAAGTAAATGCGTATAGAAATCGTTAATAAATACGTGTTTGGAATTAAGATCTACTAATTGAGTCAATATAAATAAAGTGCAATGATGTTGAAGATGAATATCGCTAACAAAATCAAATGTATTTCTTATTTGAGAATTTTTTAAGCCGGCATTTTTGGTTTGAATATATATTGCTTCTTGTAACATATTGGCAAATAAATTTATTGCGGAAATAGGAACAATAAATAATTTATATGCAACTAATTTTACGGCCAGCATCTGTTTGTAATTTATATATTATCTTTGCAAGCGAGTTCTAATTCCAAAGTAGTACAATGGGCACATATAAATAAACATATGTAACAATTGTTGTGCTTGTCGCTTTTGTTAAACAATTAAACTGACTGACTGGCATATAACTAATATATATTGTTATATATACACAATACGGACGACTTCGCGTAGCTAACGTACACAATGCTTTGGCTGCCACTTTTGTTTTGTAATTTAATCTTATCGTTTGACAACTACTATATAGATATTTTTGCACATATAGTATATGGGCAGCCAGCAGGTCTAGAGACTGTATATACATGCATATATATACATGCATATGTTCAGAAATACAAGTAATTACTTTCTTTTTATTCATTAATTGAACAATTTAATGCGTGTGGATATTTCAAATCCCGCTCAGTGAGGGACGGAAAGAACAGAAGCAGCAAAAGCAGAAGGCAAAGCGTGTCAAGTGAAATGAAAATGCGACCGGCGACGACCTTGAAATCAATTTGTGCCATGATGACGTCATGCGTCAACAATAACAGAACTGGCGCAACAGGCCCAAAGACAAGAAACGACAGCTGTTTATTGTATGTACCAATACGTATGTATACCATTTAAAATAGACCGCAACTACAAATTGCAGGCGTAAATTCTATGCATAACTTCGAAACCACTTTGCTCCCACGAAATCTCTTGGGATTTTGTTTTCTAGACGCACGAGTTTATTTAAAATTTTTGGCTGCGGCTAATTTCCTTTTTTTATTGGCTAGCCGAAAGCGAAACCGGTTTGTCATGTTCTCTGGCTAATATACTTATGTGTGTGTTTGTGTGGGTTTATTTCATGTGTGAATGTATTTTTGTTAATTAAGCAACAAAATAATATCAGACGCAGAAAAGGCGCCAGCGGCCAACAAGCTTTGGTGACAGTTACGTGCGTGCGTTGACAGGCGGCGGGTAAAATGGGCGGGTTTTGTTAAGATTTGGACCAGATTCTCATAATTATATAAAATGCATGCATTGACTGATAAATTAAACTATTAATATACATATAAATAAATATTATGTATTTTTTGGCTTGTCTGTTGAGTTATCGATTGTAAACGTTGTATATCGTCGATTAACAAGGGCATGTTAAATAACAGTGCGCGCGCGGTTAATTTGAAATCGTTCAGGCGCTGTTATGTTAAACAACATTCCAGTTTCTGGCAACAGTTTAGTAGAACATCGGTTCATCCTTTCAATTAATAAAATAAAAACCAACCGCTTTTAAATCTTGCATTTGTTTTAATACATTTGGTGTTGTGTGTGTTTTTGTGTGTACAAAAGTGAACTTAAAATCAACGTGCTTTCCCACGCTGTAGTATGTGTATGAGAGTGTCTGTTTGTTTTTAGATATCTACATAGCTACGTACATAGATTTGTTTACATCAGATTTAATTAAACATAATAAATACATTTCTAAGCAAATAATATATATATAGAGTGTATATAAATATAACAAATAATACATCCAGTTGTTACGGCTATACAAAATCGGGCCTTCCAGTTCTAACAGATTCAACAGTACAAGTGATACAAAAATACACCATAATGATAAACCCAAATGCACAGTAGCAAAACACAGGTGAGTCGAATAACAGCCACTCCACAATCTCATGCCCGTCTTTTCGTATTACAAAATGTTTCAATTTTCAGTTTTAGATACAAATTTCGCTAGGGTTTTCACGAGCCAATTGCCACTAATTCGATTTAGCCGAATACGGACTGGTTGAGCCAACTGAGGGCGGCGTGGGCGTAGCCCCACTACGTATGCCATCGCCCTCGCAGACATATTTGCCTGTAATGCAAATCAAAATAAATACAATTATCTAACAAGCTCTTACCACATTAACGCACCCGAAACAAAACGCCTTTTGACCAAGGACAGGCGATAGCCGCTGCCTTGGAGCTCAAACTCAATGCCTGACAGGGTGGTACCCTCGCAATTAAACTGTGTGGCCATCGTGGCTGGAGTGGAAGGCCCATCGTTGAGTTCGAGCCGAGCACGAAGCGTGCCCACGCCGCCATCCTGTGAATTTTGCGATATGTCCGTAAAGTTCCAAACCAAGCGATTCGATTCACCCAGCCTAAACAGAAGAATAGTTAGTACACAACGTAAGTGCATTAGTGTTAGATGCTTACCAGGATGAATGCGGCTTGGACTGAACATTACGCACGGACCCATTAACCGGCACGGAGAGTGTGACATTCAGCAAGGGTGAGGCGCTAGCCATGGCATGATTATTGTACTTGTAGTCAACTTTGAGCGCCGTATAGCTGGGCTCGCACTTCCAGTAGCTGACTAGCTGGAAGGGACACGAGCTGGCGCCCGGTTTGGTGCGCACCTGATACTTGAGTATGTCCACATTAAAGTAGGAGGCAGTCGGATTATTCTCTGCCTGCCTGCGCAACAATGCAGTTAGCGCAGGCATATTAAACTCCAGCAGCGTGCTTAATCCGCTCGACTGTTGGCGATCTCTGTAACGGAGGGATGTTAGCGCAAATTTGGAGTATTTAATGTCCGGTTCACTTACATTTGCACCAGTTTGCCATTGGGCACGAGACTCTCAAGATTTTGTACTTGCTTAATGCGAAAGCCCAGCTTGGCTGGATTTGGATTATTGGCTAACAGGCCGGCAATGCCGGCTGGGAATGATAGCATCATATCACCAGACACCTTCACCTGACAGCGCGACTCATCGCTGCCTCTGAAATAGGCGTGTATAATCTCATGGAATGCCACCGCCAGCGGTATTGTGTCCGATATGCCGATTGTCAGCGGCGACGGACCACGCGATGAGCCCATTCCCCCAATGGCGGTACGAAACTCCAGACTGCCAATGCTGTCCGCTCGATTCATTGCCGGCGCTGGACTCATGCGTCCACGGCCGATATTTGTTGATCCCGCTGCTGCTGCCGCCGCCGCCGCTGCTGCCGCTGCCGGACCAATGGCAATCATATCCGAGCGACGCGATGGCGGTCGTGGTATGGCAATGCTGCTGCCGCCAGCGGATGTTGGTGTCGGTATCTGCCGGCCTGGCGGTTTGCTCAGCGTTGCCGATGCTGGCGCCGAGACGCTCATTTCGCCCAGCTCCGAGAATATATCGCCCAGATCTGCATAGCGATTGTGGCTCGGATTATTGGCATTGTTGTTGGACAGCGTCGGACTCTGCAGCGGCGCATACGGATGCACGCTGGCCGTGGGCGTTGAGGCATTCGATATCTCTGGCGATTGTTGCCGCGATGCAGCGGCGCCCCGTGCCCCTCCTTGCAGCTGCTGGCTGTGATGCTGTAGAGAAAATATATATTTAATATCTACAAACGTATTTGTTAGCGCTAAGCTTGACGTACCGCAAAGACGCCCGTGGGTGATAACGAAATATTCTCCACAGTTGCCCTCAGCTCATCCACGCTGGCCGACATGGGGGCCTGTCCATTGTTGAGCGGCTTAATCTTGACGTGAATGCGTCGCTTGTCGTTATCCGAATCCGAGTCTGAGTCGGTGTAGAAGCTGCCGGCTGCTAAAAATGTTGCGTTAAGTAACAATATTGCCTGGATGGTTCGAAAAACTGGCTTACACTTGTCATGGCCCTCCTCCCAGGCAATTTCCTTGGCTGGCTGTATGCTGAAGCCCTCCTCATCCACTTCGTAACCGCTACCGCTGGCATTGGGGCCGCCGGCAGCGGACGCTGCTGCTGCAGTTGTGGTCGCTGTGCCCACGCCGGAGATGCTGCTGGCATTGGCCAGGGCGCTGCCACCGGCACCGGCCACTCCGCCTCCGCTGCCGCCCATGCTGCTGGCGCCCGCCGAATCAACGCTGCCCTGTGCCGAAGTCGCAGACAAAGCAGCCAAGCCCCCGCCTGCGCTGCTGCCGCTGGAATTTTGCGTCTTCATGCTGCGCCCATGATCATCATAGTCGAGCAATGTGTTATTACCACGGTCCGCGCTGTTTAGAGAAAAATAGACACAATAAGAGACCAAGTAATTGATGTAAAAAAAAAGTCGAATGTCACCTGGCCAAACGCTCCTCCTGTATATTGTGATCGGCAGCCTCGTTGTCTTTCTTCTTCTTAGATTTTTTGGTTTTTGCCTTGTCGCGTCTACTACGCAAAATGCCCGAAACTATTTTGGATTATATTAATATCAAGTTTAGTAACGTGAGATATGAAATAAGGATACTTGACTGTACAGGGACAACAAGCTGCGCCACAATCATTATAAAGTAAAATACGTATATATCTACTGCACAGGGACAACAAGTACAACAAATACATAAATCTAGAGGAATAGCTCCACGAGCTACGCAAATTAACACCAAGTTTAGCTTTTGAAAGAGTAGCTTAACACTAAAAGTTTCATTCCTAGGAATAATTACAAATCCAATTAACAAAATTAAATATTCAAAATTCAACATTGGAATAATCAACGATTATCGTTTATAGTCCAGAAAAATAAATTATTTTTAGCCACATTTAAGGAACTGGCCTAAAAAGAAAGCTATAAATGCCTCATAGATTATTTTTTAATGACATAATTATTATAAATTTTAAAGATCAAACAAAAGATGAAATAATTTTACACAAACTTGCGCAGTGTTGAAAGTGCGTAGGTGAAGCAGCGAAATACACAAATCGGTTATACTTAAAGATTGTAAATTCAACTCAAACACCGCCATATTTCAAGTGCAACAAATGGTTTAGTGAATATGTTAAAGACTTGTTAAAAAATTAGATAGTTTGTACACAGTAAAGAAGCCATGCGTAAAAGCCTTGTAATTTGTTACCTAATTTCAAATGTATATACATATGAATATATATAATTCTTAGTGGGGGTCGTGCATGGGTTGGGTTGGGTTGGTCTGGGTGGAGGCACTGTACATTTATAATTTACCCTGAGAGTTTGATGTGAATATATTTAAAAGTGACGTTGTACGTCTGGACGTTGTTGCTGTTGCTGTTGTTGTTGTGGCACCGTTGTTGCCCACTGCAGTCTGTTGTTGTTGCTGATGATTTAGATGATCTTGCTCGTTTAATGATTTCGATAAATGTTGATCGCTTGTCGTTGCATTCATTTGATTTCTGCCAGCTGCACTAGCAGTTGGTGTTAGGGCCTCATTCGGCTGCTGCTGCTGCTGCTGCTGTTGTTGTTGTTGTTGCTGATCTAAAGTTTTTAATTTTGATTAGTTGATCGGTCGTGCATGGATGATCGAATCGACAATGAATCAAATGTATGCGTTGAATGAATGAATGAATGATGGATGATGGCGTGCAAAAAGCATTACACAAAAATGCGAAACAAAAAAGCGTTGAGAATTGTGTTAGTTGCAGTTATCCTTTGTGAGTGTCTGTGTTTGTGTGTGTGTGTGTGTGTGTGTGTGTGTGTGTGTGTGTGTGTGTGTGTGTGTGTGTGTGCGTGTGTGTGTGTGTGTGTGTGTGTGTGCGTGTGTGTGTGTGCGTGTGTGTGTGTGTGTGTGTGTGTGTGTGTGTGTGTGTGTGTGTGTGTAGGGGAGGTTAACATTTGGCCTTTGGCTGGTGTTTGAGTGTATATTTCATATACAAATATAGAATAAACATAAACGAAAGTTCATATACATAAATGCAAATACAGCAAAACATTTTTCTGCATTTGGCACCTTCCTGCAAACAAATAGGGCTTAAATACAATGTTATCGATAAGCCTAGGGCAACGATTAACAAACATCAAATGTAATAGAGACAATCCTGAATGAAGCTAGGAATACTTTGTGTTATGGAAAAGAGTACTGAAACCTGGAGGGAATCAAAATTAAAATACAAATACAAACATTTCGAGCGAGACTCAACCCCAAAGCGCCTAAATAGCTTGTACCCCAATTATTTGATTTATTTAACCATTTTCGATAGTTACCAATTTTGGGTGGATCTCAAATCTAGCCTACAATCGATGCGAACCGAACCTCAAAGCAGGATGTTGGCTCGAACCGAACGACTGACTTTTTTTTAGATTAGTTTTATAATCTACTATTTGTCTATTATTTGTAACAGTTCATGCTTGTGATAAATACTATCAAGAAAACCGAAGTTGTGATACTCTTGTATAAATCAATTGACTGTTTTATACTGAACACAGCTTTTGGTAGAACTAATGAAAGCTACGACAGTAGGAAGTGACAGAAGGCCCTTTATGAGTTAGACAATTTAGTATAGACAGATATAAGAGTTATTTTTAGATATCGATAGAGTAGTTACGATAATAATGCAAAAGTTACAAAATACAAAAACATAAAAAAACGAAACCTGTACCGTTATATAGAAATATGAAAAACATTAAATAAGAAAGTAAAATAATAATAGAATGAACCTTGAGAACTAGTATCCAGAAGCTCTGAGTTAAGGATATTTTTGGTGGTGACATTGGTGGTAAAATTAATCGTGCCGGTTGTTGTGTTGTTGGTGTTCGAGTTGACGCTTGTTGCTGTTGTGATGTTTGTGTTGTTGTAATTGTTGTTGTTGGAACTGTTGCTGTTGCCAGGCATACCGAAATTCCCAGAGCCGGCCGAGCTAGCAGTCACCGGCTGCTGCTGCTGCTGCTGTTTGCTAGCCGTCGGCAAGAACCAGGAGCGCAGACTCTTAACCGTTGACGTAGCGGAGCTCGCAGGCGGCGGCTGTGCGCCCAATGTCTCAGGCGATGTGGGCCGTGGAGATGAGGGACCACCGCCAGCACTGCCCAGTATTGCATCATCCGCATAGGGTATGCTGCCGCTGGCCGCGCTGCCGCTGCCCAGCGAGATGCCCGCCAATGCGTCGCCACCACCGCCGCCGCGCTGGTCCATCGAAATCAGACTGCCCGAAGCAGCTGCAGCGGCACTGCCCGAACGCAAAGCTGCCTGTATACTGGCAGCCGAATTCGAATTCGATGCCGTTGCTGATGCCTGCTGCGGCTGCTGCAAACGCGATCCACTCGACAGCGAAATAAACTCCAGCTCGAGCATTTCTGTGATGGGGTGAAAAGTTATTAAATTAGAAACTTACTTGGAATTTAGAGACCAGCTAAATATATTTTAACCATTTTCATTTATGATGAGAGGCCAATTAACAGTGGATGCTGTTATGCTTAGAAGCACTGTTAACAATTGTAGTTTTTGACTTTTTGAGCAAGTGTCATGTTAATGCAGATTCTCTAAGACAGCCTATAGGCTTTAATATGTTTACTAACTGTTCTAAAAGTCCACTGATTGTCCATGCTTAAGTTAATCACTTCTGATTTTATGTTAAGGTAAACAATGTTATTAACAGTAACCATTTACAGTGTCAACAACAGCAGCTGTTAGAGTTTATACAATAAAAAATTACCATTACCATCCGTCTACAAAATCATATAGCTCCTATAAAAACAGACTTTTAGGAATACAGCTTTGGCTAGGTCTAGAAATATATTACAGCTACATGTCTCCATGTTAGCTGTTCTTTCTTGATTCTTGTTCATGCAAGTCCTACTTACCAGGCTTCTCAAGGCCCGTGTATTTATTCAACACGAATTGCTCAAGCAGTTTATCAACGGACATATCGACAAACTGGCGCTTGAAGTCCGAGTGCACTTGTCCAACCATATCGTGATTGTTCTGCAACATTTCCAAGTACGTGGATAGAAATTCCTTCATCTGGCGCAGATGCACCTCCTCGATCTCTTGAAAGCGCTGTTTAATGTAGAATTTATTTTTAGTATACTCTGAATTTATCGAAAGACTCCTCGTTTACCTTGCAAGTTTGAGTCATGCGTCGCTCAAACTCGTTTTTAATAGGATTGTGCTTGTCGAGCAGTGCTTTGTAGTCCTCCTGCAGCTTCTTGAGCTTACTCTCCAGTTTCTCGGCATCCTTGTGTGAGCCATTGTCCTTGCGCAGCTTCTCCAGCTCAAGCACCTTGCTGGCATATAAATCCCGTAGCTTTTGCACAGCAACAGTTGAGGTTTGTATGGCCTGAACGCACTCGAGTGTCTGGGATTCCTCCTCCTTGACGCACTTATGTTTCTTGTGCAGCTCATCGGCATATTTGGCCACATCCTTGACCAGCTCCGTCAACTTCTGAACCATTTGCATGTGCAGCGTGGATAGCTTCTCGGCCGAGGTACGCAATATGGTCCAAACCGGCGCAAAGGTGCTGTTTAATGTGCCCGTGCTGGCCTTGTGGGCCAGCTTGGACATCATTTTCGAGTTTTGCTCCTCGATGTTGGACTTTTCGCGCAGAAACTCGGACAGCTCCTTGCTGGCCACCAGTCCGAACTTCATATTATGGTACAGCACATCGAATCCATTGTTCTTCTCGCCCTGCACAAAGAAGTTGGCGTCTTTAAAATGGTTTTGACTTTGATTGCATTTGCAGAGACTCACCCAAAAATAATCATTGAAGTCCACCGTCATTTTGAGTTTTTGCCTTAAGTGCTATGTTTTACAAAATTCTAGGTGCACAATAATACAAAAAAATGCTTTGCTCAGCTTTGCTCTTGTTTGTTGTCGGTTTAGCCTTTGGCGTTGTTGTAATAGATGTTGTCGTCGTGTCTATATAATTGACTTGGATTCCCAATCCCGATGTCCTAGAGGCTCAACAGTGTAGAGCACAATAGTACAACGCTGGCTGGGCTGCTCATCATCATTATCATAATCATTATCAGTTTCGTCTTCCGCACGCAACGGACGCATTGGTTGCAGACTATCTTATTTTCCTAGTCTCCTTGGCAGCTACTGCAAATATAAATAAGAGCATACGGTTATTAGGAATTGAAATTAAGGATTTGTTTTATTAGATATTGTTGGGTAAATCCGAGAGATAGCGGTGGAGAGGGATTGATAGACCACGCAAGAATAAGTGAGAGATAGCGACAGACAGAGAACGGAAAAGCTCATTACGTATCGTAAATAGGCAAGTCCTTCAATATCCCTTAAATTTTCAAAAACTAAAATAAAACCTATGCCGAAAGTATCCAAGATGATGCGCTCAGACAGTTAAACAGCAGGTTAAGTTGGACAAAGAACGTTTAAATTATGGTCCTCTTTTTAAATAAACACAATTTTTTGAAGGTCACATTTTAGGATATTAATTCAGAGGACATTTGCAAAAACAAAACCTATTGATTATATACAAAACCTTATTTCAAATTTAAAAACTAATTTATATAAAATAATTTTAAATTTAATACATGATATTTGTTTTATTATTTTTTGTTTTTATTATTATTTAAATACTGCCATCTCCATTTTTTTTCGGATGTATTACATATATTTTACTTAACTAGTGCACAAATTAAAAGAGACTTAAATATGTAGCATAGCTTTTTTTTAGCTTTGACAAGGGTACAATACGTTAAAGGTTTACATCTAGAGTCCGGCCTGCGCTTTGGCCATTTCCAGATCGATGCGCTCATCCAATGCACGCGTCAATATGGTGCAGCAATCCTTAATAGCATGGTAGATAATATTCTTGATTTGGAGTTTGTCTTCGTGATTGGTGTGCGAGTGCGAGAGGCGTCTGAATTCATGTGTGAGATGATAGCAGTGCGTGATATTTTCCGGTGAGACAAAATCCTCGGCCACCTTGATGCAGTTGTGCAAATTCTGCACTTGATGCGGTGCACCTGCGGGTATAAAGACCGCATCGCCCAGGCACTGGACAATCGGATAGCCCTCAACGCCGTATTCCTTGAACAGACGCGCACGTAATTTATCATCCAGATACCAGTTCTGATCGTGTATGGGATCATGATCGGGTTCCAGCCTGAAGCCCTTCTCCAAGGTGACACGATTGAGCAGATCGCGTATTTTGTCCGCATCACGAGCCGGAAAGATGTGCCACAATGCACCAGGCAGCACATCCGGCGACTGGCAGCGGGCACGCGTGATATAATCACAGCCACCCAACGCAATGGCGCGCTGTGTGGCCGCCAGCTGTGGCTTGCTGTCCTCATCCGTGGGTATGCCCACGTAGACCATAATGTTGACCGCATCCGAAATATCCAGATGCAGATTGGTGGTGCCTTTGTCCGGATGCAGTGCCGAGCCGTAAGCATTATACATCTTCGGGCCCAAATCGGGCGGGACAAACATTTTGGGCAAACAGCTGGCTATATTGAGATTTCCTGTGCGCAGCGTATACTCTGGCATGGGTAAGCCGCGCATTAGATCCGCAAAGCGGGTGGGCAGAATCTCAGCGAAATCATCACCGGGTGGCCAATCCTTGAGCTTTAACAACATCGGCTTGCCATTAACGTCCAGCAGACGCTTATGCATGCATTGGAAACCCTCCCAGAAGTGTCGCATCGGCTGGTTGGGCACCAAGTTGCCATTAAGGCAATTAATCAAATCATTGGGCTTGTCGCCAAAATCACGGCAAAAGGCCTGCGGATGCCACAGTTCCAGATTGAGCGAACGCGCCACCTCGGATATCATAACGGGCTGTCCACATTTCCATACCTCCTGGTACAGTACACGGTTATCGGGATGCATGGGATCAGTGAGACGCAGCAATTTGCCATCGCAGAGCCATTCGTGAGGCACGCCCGGCGCCAGTTGCGTGGAATGAGCCAGGGTCATGGCGCGTGGCGGCAAAAAGCGCCGAAGACCCGCGAGACCTTTGCGCAAAAAGTTGATGTGCTTAAAATTATCGAAAGCGGTTGTGATAGGATCCTTTCCAAGTGTCTCCTTTGTCCAGACGCGACCTGGGACATAGTCGATGCCATTTTGACGCGCGAATTCTAGCTTTTTGGCATGCAGCTGCTCCAGACGCTGCTGCTGCTGCACCTTTTGCGCGGTGGCCAGCGAGGAGGCGCTGGTTTGTTGCTTCAGCTGTGACTCCTTGATCATGTCCTGAATGAGCTGTGTCAGCTGCTCGTCCTTGACCTGTTGCTTGCTCAGTAAACAGCCGCACACCTGCGGCACCTGCCACAATGTGCGCACCTCGTGCAACAGCCGGCCGAGCACGTTGAGTGCATCCCCTGCTATTATCTGGGTCAACATCAGCTCCGGCAACGTGTGCTGTTGTTGCACGTCATCGGTGCAGAGCAGCCAATGGTATTCATCATGACCGCGTTGTGTTTCCAACCGCCGCTTCTTTTGCAGTCCCTCCTTGCGATCCTTGAAGCAATCTATGCACACACCGAAACCACACTTGCGGCATGTCCAGTGATAGTTGAAGAGCGTCGTATCGCAGACATCGCAGATTTCACGTATGCCCTGTACGGCTTTCTTCCATGCAATCGTTCCGTCTGGATTCTCGTGCAGCTTCAAAGCCTCGGCCTCCTGGCGCCACAAATAGCAAAACTGATCGCCTGCATGCAACAAAATGTAACGGCACACTTGTATATCCATAAAGCCAGCGGTGGGCGTGGTTTTTGCATCTGGCTGCCAAATGGCGTAGTCAACACCCGTCGGCTCCTCGTAGGGATTGGGGAAGCCAGCAACGCTCAACTCGCCGGCGTCATTATATTGCAGGCGTCGAAACTCATAGAAGCGACAGTAGATATCATTGTTGTTGCTGTTGTTGCTGCTGCTGCTGCTATTGGCACTGCCTGCTGCTGATGATGCTGCGGGCGGCGCATGACGACGCCGGCATTCCCGGCATTTGGGTATGGGCGTCAATGTAGTCAATTGCTGCAGCTTAAAGCAAGGCAAATGCTGCAAAAAGATTTGGCAACTGGTGCGATTATCGGTATCGCGTTGCTGCTCCTCAATGCTCAGTTCGATAACATTGTTTTGCTGTTCTTGCTGCTGTTCCATGTCTGTTTGTTGCTCTGATTCCAAATTGGGGCGTTTACAGCTGTTAGCGCTGCTGTTAATCTCATTGGATATGTGTATCTCGATTATAGATTTGGGCTCCGAGCGTGACAAGGTGCGCTTGCGACAATTGTCGGCACTATCTGATGGCGGCGTTGCCAGATTGACGTTAGCTGCTGTTGCTTGCGACATTGAACTGTGCGCAAGCAGAGTGCGAGATAGAAAGAGGGAGAGAGAAAAAGCACAATATGAACATCTCATAATTAGCCAGCTTATTACAATTTTTCATTTGTAGCCGGCTTTATTTTGTACTTGGGAATATGCTTTTTTAATTGTATAATTAATTCAAGTGGTCTGTCGCTTTGCTGCGGATACTGCAGCTTCTGCTGCACTTGCTGTTGTTGTAGTTTTTTGCGATTGTTATCGATAGCAATTATGGTACCGTGCTGTTCCGGCTCGTTATCAGTAACATTTATGCTACCAAGGATCTTCATTTACATAATGTTAATTGAGCCGCTTATGTTAATGTTTACTTGCACTTTTTATAGAAGAAAATACATATGTACATAGGAATTGTAATCTATGGTAATGAGGCTAACAATGAAAGTTGTTTTCACTATTACCTGGCAAGGAAAATTACCGTATACATAAGTATACTTTACATTTAAATCCATAATAAGAATTATAATATACGCGCATAAGGTCAAAAGACTCGACAAGCAATTGATAATTTGTCGTAAATTTAAACGCCCCGTTTGCTTTAGACGGATACATGTTTAAATGTTTGTGCATGTGTTTCTGATAAGATAGGCAATTAATGCTAACACCCCCTATAAAAAACAATTGAATTACCCATAGAAAACAAATGAGTAAATCTCTTTTTTTTTTATCAAAATATGATTAAAAAATAAAAATAAATACTGCTTCCTATTTGGTCTTTATCACCACCCAATGCTATATTTAGGCAGCATTTGCTAATTAAGCGGGGTAGCCATTAAAAAACACCTTTCTGTATATATTTACTTGTGTACATACATACATTCACACACTCCTAGATATTAACGTGCTGTTATGGAGCCCACTGCACATTGCATTTTAAACGCTGCCTATGTTAACGTTAACGAGATCATTTAACAACATTATGATGAAAACTCCCTCTATCTCTTTCTCTCTCTCTCTCTCTCTCTCTATTTCAAATACGTGCAACAAGTGTCAGTGTCATTTGCCGCATATCGATAGTTTTGCTCTTTTGTATCGATTTGTAAACAGCAAATGCGGGCGGGCAAATACATACATATGTATGTCAGTTTTTTTGAGCTTCACTGCTCTTAATGATACAAAAAACAAGAATACAGCAGTTATTCGCTCATACACGCACGGTTTTTGTGAGACCCAATAAAATAACCTTGGCTGACATAGCACACACAGTCACTGACACACACACATACGCCCTGTGGCAGAAGCGATGTTTTGGGCGTGAACCACCGCAAAGCCGCTGCAGTTGCGTGTCTTATCGACGAAAAGCGAAACAGAAAACTAAAAGGAAATGCAAAAACAAAAGAACCTTACAAAGCGCTGCCCTGAATTCTACAACAGATGCCCCCGCCCCCAGCCAAATTGATGAATCAATTCACTTTCTGTACACTATTTTATTGACCTTACAATTGAATTGGATCCAGTTGCGCAAATTGTTCATTTTACATAACAATTGTACGGTCTTTGACGTCTTGAAATGCGTAAAATCAATAAAAAAAAATAATAATAACATCAATTGGTACTAAATACTAAAGGTGTGCTTACAGTTGTATGTTCAAATATATGTCCAAAATGCACGCATAAATACTTAAAATACATATATATAACTATGCAATAGTACGATAGTAGTAGGTACTTGACGTTCTTTGCTGTCGCACAACAACACCAGTCTTTGAACAGCTTTACCAAGCGTATTACGAGCCTAGCAGCGTTTACAGGTAAAATAACTTTGGTTTCAATATTAAGGGACAATTCTGATAACAAGCACAATTGCTACCATTTGTAGCGTAAACACAACAGCAGCACGACAACACTCTCGGGGGATTACTACATAACCTGCTCTCACCCACTCTTAACGTTTTGTTTTGTCAATGAATGAGATGATTTTTTTGCACAGCTAAATTCCAGTGCACTGGAAACTAATCAACTCAGACTAACGAGTTACTTAAAAATGCACTTTAAGTTTCGCCATACGCTTAATGGCACAATCCAGATTTAGTGGCTCTTTAGAATTTTTATCAATTTAAATTGTGTACTTAATATAACAAATACACAAATCATGCATGCAATGCCCGCACACACACAAATACCCCAGCAGTTGAACGCTGTAGCGTTCCTGCATACCAAGTATATATAAATATATATATATTTATATATATATATATATATATATAGACGTATGTACATATGTATTTTGATGGGAACGGCATAAGTCAAGCGAATTTTCATACAATAATAATCATACTTTTGAAAGCAATTTTAACTTACATTTTATTATTAAATGATGCTAGTACATATGCACATTCGTTTTTAAATATTTATCATTATAAAATCAAATTACTTTTATACAGAATGCAAATTTTTCACCAACGCGCACAATTAACATACACTACATAGCAGAACGCGTCGTACTTCTATCTGAGTAGTGATGTGTCAATATCGATTGTTAGCGAACGAGTGTTGAACAATGCGCAGTGTTGTTAAGATTATTCCAATTTTAGTACATAACTGAATTTAAAGTACCTAAACGTATTTTCGTGTTGCTAAACACAATTTAGCTGTAATAACTTTACTTAAAAAACAGTATCTAGCGATCAACTGATGTTTTACTTGAAAAGTACAACACTTCGGAAATACTTGCGTTTAGTTGGTAAAGACTCCACAATTGCAATACTATCGATTATATGATTTTTTTTTAAAACAGCTCGCATCGTTATATTGTCACACATCTCTAAGCGCCGGACAGCTGGGACTGTCTCTGATTGGAAAGCATGTCTTCAACATTAATTAAATGTTTAAATTTGGCCAAAGCTGTGGGCACAGTAACGTTCAAAAGTTTGTTAACTACATCACAGAACCAATTAACAGCATGGAGGTTAGTTGAATAGAGTATAACAAAGTCACCCAGCGTAATTCGACTGTTTTGAATTTTATATATTTTTATGTAACAAAGCCCTGCAGCAGTTGGTGGTTTACTTAAATGCGGAGTGCACACAACGAGCCCCGTGCGACAGGAACGCCTAATGGAGTTCTTTGACGATCCTAAACATTGGAGCGAGAACGAAGTGAAAGTGGGGCGCGCCTGGAAACCAGACGAGCTGCGCATCAAGTCCAATAAGGAGCTGCATCAGCTATGGTACATTTTACTCAAGGAGCGCAACATGCTGCTTACTATGGAGCACGAATGCAATGATAAAATGGAAATCTTTCCCAATCCTGAACGCATTGATAAGGTGAAAATCTCTATGGACAATCTAGAGACAGTTGTGCGCGAGCGCAACAAGGCGTATCATCTGCTAGAGACTGGCGAGACGGGCGAACGTCCACAAAGGGCGGTGCACAACGCCTTCGGTTTGCGCTGCACATACAAATCGTGTGAGCATGCGCTGCCGCCCTTCATGAACACCAAATGGATTAAATCGCGTCATTTGGGCTACGGCGGACGCGCTGTTCACAAATTCCTGCTGCAGTATCGCGAGAAGCTTTATAATGCCAAACGCAAAGCCAAAAAGTAAGAATACGAATTTATGAAACCGAGCGAGAATTAATTTTTCTATAAACATTTATTTCAGTCGCTCACGCAATGAAGTCATGATGATACTAAGACGTAATCCAAACTTTGACTTGGAATTGTTAAAACGTAAATATTCCGACGTGGACATTGAGAAACTGCGCAGGAGCGATAAGGCGCGTGGACATTTTGTGCCCAAGGTGGATGCTTGAGAAATGTTTTGCATATATTAAAATAAACATAACCCAAACGTGATTAATCATCGAACTTGATTTTTTTGCCGGTGAACTTGGCAATTTTTGGCTTCAGCTTCTGCTTGGCTAACCAAGACGGATGCATGCCGGCTGCACCCGCTTCACCATCGGTGGGAGATGGTTGTGCAACTGGAGCAGTTGATATTTCCGCAACACTGTCATCGTCATTAAACTTGGTTTTCTTGCCCTTATAGTTGGCTATAATCGGCTTTTGCTGCTGCTTGGCCATCCACGATGGATGGCGTTCATTAGAACGTTCATTGTTATGGCGTTCATTGGAACGTTCATAGTTATGGCGTTCATTGGAACTTTCATAGTTGTGGCGTTCATTGGGACGGTCATAGTTATGGCGTTCATTGGAACGTGAACTGTTATATTCCTGCTTTTTGGCCAGAGGTTTGCGTTTTCTTTGCTCCACATGTTGATCATCATCCGATTCATTATGGCTATCACCGGATAAAACAACTGCAGTTGATAGATATGGTTGTCCCGATTCTGTAATGAAAAAGGGATCGACGACATGGGTGGGTCGTTCTTTTTCTGGTTCCTTGGCCGTCTTGCGTTTGCGGTTGACCTCAGCTTTCTCGGGCAGCGGTTTGTTTTCTACTTCCTGCTTTTCTTTAAGATTGGGAATGGCGCCTGCTTTCTCACGCTGTGTTTTATTTTCTACAACAACTTCATTTCCTTCTTTTCCTGTTAGTTTGCCACTTGATTTCTTCTGCTTCGGTTTATTTCCCACCTCCTTGATTTTCTTGCGTTTGGGATTAACAACCATTTCCTTAAACTGCGGAGAATTTTCTTCTATCCTATTTCCTTCTCCGATTTCAGGTTGCCCAGCTTTTCGTTTCTTTGACTTTTCTTGTACTTTCTGTAGATTCTCATTGCATTTGGGCCTTTTCTGTTTAGTTGCCTCCAATAAATCTGCTGAAGATGTGGACGTTGCGTTATCTTGAATTTCCTTGATGTTCACATTGCCTTTAAGATTCGGAGTTAGCGGACATTCTATCTGGCATTCGCCAGCTGCTGTATTTATGACACTTTGCTCGCATTTGCCTTCGCCAGGTGGTTGATTTTGTTGCAACCAGATCATACGATTGCGTGTCTGCGCTTTCTGTTCTTTGAGCTCTTTACGTTTACGCCGCTTTTCCTCGGTTCGTTCCAATTTGAGGCGACGCTTGCTTGTCTCCAATATTGCAGTACGCCAGTCGTCATTGGCTTTATTACCAAGATCCAAGGCTTGTTGAAATGCTGCCACCAGCATTTGCATGATTTTGTTTAGCCCCAACATGGCAATAGCTACTTCATCCGGCGTTGCCCGACCATTGGTCAGCACAGCCTTGTGATTTTTCCCATTTTGCAGCAGCAGCGTACGCATAATGTCCATGTATTTGAGCGACTTAAGCTCAGAAATACACTCGACGCTTTTGCGTAATCGTTCCTGATGTTTTTCACTTTCCGGTTTCCTCTTCAGTTCATCCTTCAATTTGCGCAATTTATTCACGACCCTTGCAATGGTTTGGGCACGCGCTTGTTGTATATGTTTCTTGTTGGTAATGACCTATTGGTAAATTTTCGTTATTATTGCGCTAAATCAAATTTTGTTTACTTACCAAATTGTTAAATTCTAATTTATTAAACATTTTGTACGTGCACATGCAGCATGCTACTTTTGCCCGTTGAATTTTTTTGGGAATCGAACAACTATCGAAACTAGCTTTTTCCATGTAATCCAAAGCTGTAATTCTTCATTTTAGTTCCCCCACACAAAGAATGTCCGAATGAATCGGGGGTGGTTTCTATTTATCTTAGTTTTTATCACGTTTCCATTTGCGATGGCGAAGCTTAACTTGTTTGCGTATTTTTATAAATATAAGCAATTAAAAATTGCCGATAGCGCGGTGGCGGCACGATTGTCGAGTGTCGTACAGCAAAAATAAAACTATGCGATGAATCTCCGATATTTTTGAGCGATTGTCAACTAGAAAGTTAGAGCTGCTAACTATCGATGACGAGCCATTTTAAATATCGAATTTTCGATTTGGCGAAGGCTATTATAACTAACCATACAATGCATTGTAAGCAGGTAGGTTTGAAGTGAAAAATGATTAAATACGAAACGTATGCATGCATGTAATACACAAATAAAACTATCGATTGAAATCATTGTACACCAAAATTCAATTGTGTTGGACTAATCGACTTTCTTACATTCCTACCGATAACATTTCTACACATCTCTGCCGCATCTAGCAGCCGACGCGCTTGCAAAAAAAAAAGGAAGATAATTTTCTTACTTTTTGCTAACAGTATTGTTGCAAAAAGTCCAAGAGCACCTTCAATTTTTATAATAAAAATTTAAGAGTTATCTTAAGTATTATATTATTAACTAGAGCGCTTGTTTAATACGAAGTCGCAAAGCCTGTAAAATTTTGCCGACAGCACGCTTTTGCCGCCACCGCTTTGTTGTTTTGGCGCCCGAATTTGCGACGCGCACAAAAATTTGCGTGAAATTATAATTTGGCTGCGTGGTCTAAAATGGTTGATCGCAGCGATAATGGTAAGTAACAAACATGGCAAACGTTGTTCAAATGCCGAATTCTAACACTTTGTTTGTAAGCAGCGGAATCCTTTGACGATGCCGTCGAGGAACGTGTGATTAACGAAGAGTACAAGATATGGAAAAAGAACACTCCATTTCTTTACGACCTGGTCATGACGCACGCTCTGGAATGGCCTTCACTGACGGCGCAATGGCTGCCTGATGTAACCAAACAGGATGGCAAAGATTACTCCGTTCATCGCCTGATATTGGGCACACATACCTCGGATGAACAGAATCATTTGCTGATTGCCAGCGTCCAACTGCCTAGTGAGGATGCACAGTTCGATGGCTCCCACTACGATAACGAGAAGGGCGAATTCGGTGGGTTTGGCTCAGTTTGCGGTAAAATCGAGATTGAAATCAAGATCAATCACGAAGGGGAAGTCAACCGAGCACGCTACATGCCGCAAAATGCTTGCGTTATTGCTACCAAAACTCCCTCAAGCGATGTTCTCGTATTTGACTATACAAAGCATCCCAGCAAACCGGAACCATCCGGCGAATGCCAGCCGGACTTGCGTTTGCGAGGACACCAGAAGGAAGGCTACGGTCTGTCGTGGAATCCCAATTTGAATGGTAAGCTCGAGGATAGCTCCACAATGAATTGTTTAAATACCAGTGCTAGATTGGACTTTATAATTTTTTGACGAAATGTGTTACCCAATGAAGGAGGCATCTCAGATCCCACCAAGGACAACATTATCAATACTCGTGTCGCAGTGTCCATGTGAAAATGTTCTTTTTTTTTTTTCTTTTTATAACCCATTTTTTATGTAGTTCTGTTTTTACTCATCATCTTCCGCCTTTAGGTTACTTGCTCTCGGCCTCGGACGATCACACCATCTGCTTGTGGGATATCAATGCCACGCCCAAGGAGCATCGCGTTATCGATGCGAAGAATATATTCACTGGCCATACCGCCGTCGTTGAGGATGTGGCTTGGCATTTGCTTCATGAATCACTCTTCGGTTCGGTGGCCGATGATCAGAAGCTGATGATTTGGGATACGCGCAACAACAACACATCAAAACCATCGCACACCGTTGATGCGCACACGGCCGAAGTAAATTGTTTGAGCTTTAATCCTTACTCAGAATTTATATTGGCCACGGGATCTGCGGATAAAACGGTCGCCTTGTGGGATTTGCGTAATCTCAAGTTAAAACTACATTCCTTTGAGTCGCACAAGGATGAAATCTTTCAGGTGCAATGGTCGCCCCATAATGAGACCATTCTGGCTTCCTCGGGCACCGATCGGCGTCTACATGTGTGGGATTTATCGAAAATTGGCGAGGAGCAGAGCTCTGAAGATGCCGAAGATGGTCCGCCCGAACTACTTTTCATACACGGTGGCCATACGGCCAAAATCAGCGACTTCTCCTGGAACCCAAATGAGCCATGGATCATATGCTCTGTGTCGGAGGACAATATCATGCAAGTATGGCAAATGGCCGAGAACGTGTACAACGATGAGGAACCCGAAATACCCGCCTCCGATCTGGAAACTAACACTGCTTAAAGCAACATTATTTTATGTTTTTGGCATCTGTTTCTCTATCGCCCCCCTCCCCGCTCCCATAATAAATATATGTAAAATTGTTTTTTGGCAACAGCACTGCGCCAGCTTACCTGGCAGCGGGTACTCATTTTAATTTATATATTAGATACCTTTAATATTAAATAAGCTCACATTTTGTCTACAAAAAACTTGCATTAAAACAATCTGAAGACCAACTAATCCACCGAGTACTTATAATGCTTGCCAAAGGCCTCGATATCCACATGCAGTGCACGCACATCGCCCTGGTGGCGCCGGGAGCTGATCTTGCCGCTTATCACCTGATCCTTTTGCACCGTTTGTGGCTGGTCTATGAAAAAGACCGTCTGTTTCCAGTGCGTGGGCGTCTCGGCTGGCGATGTACTGAACATGATTTGGCTATCCATTTCAAAGAACGTGTCAAAGTAACCCACAAAGGCAGCCAATTTACCCGTTTGCTTGCACTTTAAATGGAATTCATGCGTAAAATTCGAATAGTTAAGATCCACGGTCATCATATCAAAATTGGCAATTTGCTCGCTCTCTGTCAGTATATGCTCAGGATTGACCACCTCCATTAGGGGCTCCTCAATGCTGCGCTTGCGCAGATCACTCATATTAACCCCGTAAACGTCCGACCAGAACTCAACGTGTTGTTCATGCAGCGCCTCATTTATACCAAGCAAATGCAGCGTACAGCGATTGGGCAGAATTTTGCCACTGGGCTTCAAATGGTTTTCGCGTGCATAGATAATTGTGTCCAGCATTGCCTCGTATAGCAGAAAATAGCCCATCCATTCGGATATGATGACATCGTATTTGTCCTCTGGCAGTACAGTGTCCTCCAGTCTTCCCTTTACTAACTTTACATTTTGAACATTGTTTTTCCTGTCAAAGGAAACATTGAATATGGTTATTCATTGATCAAATAAGAGACTGTAATAAATATGGTATCACTTATTTAATGTAAGAGAATTTTCATTATAATTAAATAATATTCATTAAAATGGGTTCAGAATTTGACACTGGGCACGTAGCGCAGTCAAACTTCGATGGACTGAAAATTGATGTACAGTTTTTAGTCCAACTACATTTTAGATGGATTCTTCTAGTATTTGTTCCAATCAATTTCTTTATATCATTTTCCAATTTGACGTGATACAGTTCGCACACTTAATTATTAATACATTTTCCACGCATTTCGATATCTCTCCCTATTCTCCCTTATATGAGTTATTTACATGGATATTTTAAAGCAAATATGGGAAAGAGTAACAAGTTTGCAACTTTTTGGATATTCAATAAAAATGATCACAACAATAAATAATTACAAAATGTATGTATAATGTATGCCTATTTGAAATGCTTAGAAAACTGGCTCACCTGACTATGTCCATAGCGGTATAGACAATCTCCGAGTTGTCAATGCCCACGACGGTCTCGGCGCCCGCTTGAGATGCAAATATAGAAAGTATACCTGTGCCACAGCCCACATCAAGCACCGACTTGCCTTGCAAATATTTCTGATTTTGCATTAGAGCTGCACGGTAGCTGCTTGTGCGTACCTATTGGTATGACAAATATTATTATTGGAGCACCACTATGTAAAATGATTCTCTACCTTGTCGCTGAGCATTTCGTAATGTATTCCAAAGTGGGAATAGCTATTGAAGTATTCTTTATCCAGCGTTGGAGCGTTGCGCACAACGCCATTGCTGGTTGATGGCATTGGCTTTCCGCCTGCCTCCACATCGCTGTGCACCTTTTGTAGAAGTGCTTTATAGTCGCTGCGCATCCTTTCCATATCCTCACTGGCCTGTTGCAGTAGTTTGCTTTGCTCAGCGATGCGTTGCATCAGCGCCGGAACGCTAGCAGCTGTCTCCGTTTCGTCAGTCTTGAGCGCATCGTAGTCATAGCACAGCCATGGCTCGTAGTCTCCGGGTTTAAGATACTTTTCATTATTCCACTGTGGCTGCTCTGTTAGTAGCAGCTGCTCTGCACTGACTTGACCTCCACGTATGTAATTTATTAGTTTAATAAAAGCATACTGATCCATTTGGAATTTCTGCTTGAGCTGCGACAAATTTACTTTGTGCTGACTGTTTAAATGCTCGATGGCCAGATCAATACTGAGAAAAACTTGCGTGCAAAACAAACAAGTTGTTGGTTCTCCCTCGTCCTCACCCGTTTCTTCGTCATCCTCGATGTCGTCGTATGCCTCTTCATCGGAGCTGGGCTCGGTGGACTCGTTTGCTGTCGGTGAAAATTCTGTTGTCAGCGCGTCATATTTTCTTTTCTTATTGCACTTACCTTTCTGATCTGTGTTTTTCATGTTATGTAAATATACAATCTAGTTCCCAATTAAAATGCCAAAAGCTACAATTAAAAATAAAAACAAATTGCTATACACAATAAAGTTTAAAAGCGCTCTTATTGGGCTGCACGTGCAAAGAGTGTCAGTGTTACCACACCCCGGCAAAATTCAATGTTTACTGTTTATCGATAGGTAATCAACGTTTTGCGGCCCTGCACTTGCATAACCCTGTTTCTGGTTTCCAGCTGCAATAACAAAATGCTTCAGGTGAGCATTTGATTTAAATTTTATTGATTACTTAAAACTAATGTTGTTATTTTTGTTTGTCTATTTAAGCTATTTAAGACATTACGTCTGACGCAGCCAGCGCGCTTTGCTTCCGCACTTAGCAATACTGCAGCAGCAACTTTACCAAGCACGGAAGCTACGCCTCCTGCCACCGTAAGCGAGCCCGACAAACTTTACAGTAAATTGGAAATCGAGCTGCGAGGCATAGATCCGGCGGTGCTGAAGAGTTACACCTGGTTTGCTACAACCGCTGCTGAGCATTTGGGCATTGAGCTAGGCAAGTGGTAGGTACCGGCTGAAGCTGAACAGCAATAGATCCATATTAAATGCACATTCAACCACTTGCAGCTGGTCTCCTCGGAAGGCGCACCACGAACGCATGACCCTGCTAAAGTCAGTGCACATTTACAAGAAGCATCGCGTCCAATATGAGATACGCACACATTTTCGCTACATGAACTTTCACAAGCTGACGGGCTCAACGCTGGACACATTCTTAGAGTACATTGAACGCAATCTGCCCGAAGGCGTGGCGCTGCAAGCGTCTAAAACGGAGCTGCAGCAGATCCCCGAGCACTTGCGACAGCCGCCAGAACAAGTTTAGCATTAGATTAGATATTAACTCTGGTAGTTGTAGGCCTTCCACCTACATATTTAACTTTTATGTTTGATAACGCAGCCAATGAAACGATTTAACCGTAGCCTTGCGATTATTCTTCAATAGTGAAAAACAAATAAAGTGCTATTGTTAATCGAAAATAGTAGCATTGATAAGGTTAGACCTGTTATTGGCTCAATCCATTAAGGCCCCACCAGCTTTTTAGCGATAAGCCTTGGTCTTAATACTAAAATTACAATAAACGAGAAAACACACTTATGTCGTATACCCTAAAACAGCTTATGTAATAAAAATATCACTGAAGAACAAATCCCTTAGGCAAGCCCTTTTTGTCCGATTGTTCCTAAAGGAGCTGTAACATATTGATGTCAAATTTAAATAAGATGACGCTCATAGTAAGGCTTATATTTGCTAAATCGTGTGGATATATTGAAGAGGCAGCTATAGACATTATTATTATTCCCTATGCAAGGGTCTAAACACTTTTGTTTGTTTTTGCTCAGCAAATATACCCTACTATGCAAGGGTATTTCATGAATTGGTTGTGGTCATATCTTGACATTCATAATGGGAACTGGAAATGGGCGCACTTGACAAAAACCGAAAACTTGCATTGGTAAATCAGTCGCGTGCTTCAGCCCCCGGCAAACGGATCTCCAAAGTTTAGCAACATGCAGACCGGTTACCTATGGCAGATGCTTCTGGCCGTGGCCACGATCTACAGTTGCCTGTCGCCAGTTGCGTGCGTCTATGAGGAAACAATTCAGGTATTTCTAGAGGAGTTTCGTATGCGAATGTGCCATCCGATACCGAATTTGGGCCTACCCGCATTGGATCCATTAGAGCTAGGTCCTGCAGAGACAGCTGTGAATAATAAATACCTTGTCGAGTAAGTCCGAACATTTTTTCTGTTCATGTAATGTATGTAATCCTTTAATTGTTTGTAGCTTTACTGGTTCGATTGAGGACTTTAAGCTGAATGGTCTTTCGGATTTCATTGTAAATACGCTTAAAATAAATGTTATTCCTGGAGTGACGAGGAGTACGATTAATGTCACCTTTCCACACACCTATTTAAAATCCCTATATACCGCCAAGGGTTCGTTGGCCTATATTCTGAATTTGTCTGGCGACGGCAATGCAGAGTAAGGAATATAGAAGTGGTTATTTGAAAACCATTTATTTCATCTCGTTCCACTCTTAGGGCGTCAATTGAAGACTTTTCGTTCGAAATCTCATGGAGAATTAAAGCGTCGACGTCTTTAGCTATCACAGGCTTACAAATTGAAATGCGTATGGGAGATTTGAAAATTAACTTTGAAAATCTGTTGGAAGAGAAGCGCATTAATGATTTCGTACATGCCTTGGTCAATGAAATGGGAGTTGAATTGCTAGGTGATATATGGGACTATGAGCAGAACACGGTAGTCGACAAGGTCGAAACGGTGGGTTATTTGTGCAAGCGGCATTGAAAACATGATTTTTATAATTTTTGTTCTCTTTGCAGCTGATCAATAGCAAAATACCGGATCTTCTGAAAATTATTACTGGAGGAGAAGGTGGAGGCAGTGAAAGTTCTCCAATTTTTGATGGAGTTGAACCGGATTGTAAGCTCGATGGTCGTAAATAAGGCTGATTAATTTGTTTAATGTGCTTAGCACTAAAGCAAGTTATCCACTTATAAATTTTGACATACATCTCATTACGATAAGTAACGCGATAAATATGTTTAAAGCGTATGTAGCTGGCCACTAATCTGTTGATAAAGTGCACATATACCTATAAAATACCAATTTCCATTCTAATCCTGTCTATATCAGTAGTATATCAAGTATGGCTGATAACACGTGCCATTAGCTACTTGATGCTTTCGATGTGGGGTCTTGATAACACAAATATTGTTATTACTTTTTATTGATTTATGACTGCAGTGCTATAAAAATTTGTTTTTGCAACATTTTAAATTTCCCGCGCTTGTTATCTGCATGTCAGCTCCAATATAGCAAGCAGGGCTACAGCATTTGATTATTTTCGATAAATACTGAAAGTTACTAGAGCAACACTGTTTTGGCCAGCCTTGCCACATCAGGTCATAATATTAGAATTTTCCAGAGCAGGGCAACGCGCCTATAAGTAAAGGCACCATCGTACGCCATCATTATTCCTATTACAAGTGCCAGTTTGATCGAACGTCTGAGTGTCGACTCGACAGAAAGAAATTTAAGTGGGACAAAGAAGTGAAGAAGCAATTACACGTTTATCCATATATTTAGTACATTTTAATTAAGCAACACATAAAGGTAAGTTTTTTTTTTAACAATTTACATTAACATAAAGCAATGCACGCTAAATTTTGCACGTGCTCAATGCCGCGTGTTTGCACAGAAACAAATTTCCAGTGACTAACATGTGCTTTTTCCGGCGTTAATCAATAATTACATTACGGGTACTAAAAGTAGTTCATTGTAATTTGTAGCTTTCGAAATTGTAAATTAAGTTTAAAAAAATAAGGTTGCAAGTGATTAATCTTTAGAATTTGAACAGAGGTACTTATATGTACATATATAAATGCACATTCACGGCATGTATGTATGTACATACATTCGAGCACTTAAACGTGTGTAATTACCATAGTACATGCATATATATTGCGTCATTCGATTTTGCATTGCTTTTGTGGTTTCTAATAAATAATTAAAGCCTTGCATATACGTAGATATAAATACGTTTGTATTTGATGCCTTATCGTAATGTGCGGATTTATTTTAAGTGTGGTTGTACTGGAATATTCCATTGAAAAAATATGCCGCATCACACGCACGCTACCTACTCATGTCATCATGAGTCATGATGATGGTCGGCTGCTGACGTCCGCTTTTATATTTATTATTCGAACATTTTATTTCTTTTAATTTAATATTAACTGTTGAAAATTTTGTTTTTATAGTTTTTTTATTTGCTGTATTTAAGCGTGGTTGCTAACCGGCATTTCAATGTATGCGTGTGCACGCGTAGATGGAATTAAAACCTTTCAAACTTGCATACATATAAAATTTAGCGCGCGCGTGCTTGTATACTAGCTTCATCTCTTTCTTACGCACGACAAATTGTGCAATCCAAACGCTCTGGCAACGGCGTGGTTTTGCGTACATATAGATACACACTTATGTGTGTGCATGCTTGGGGTTTCAAGCATTCCAGAATTTTCGCCTTTGTGTCCATGCGGTGCTTGCACCTTTTAATGAAAATTAGCAGCTGCTGCTGAAATGAAACTCCATTGTTATCTGTCAGTTTATCTTTTTTGATCGTTGTATGTACATGTATATGTACGTATATATGTACATACATAAGTGCCTCGGCCATTATAGTTAGTCATATGCTCACGTTTCACCGTTTTGGGTGTTGACTGTGACATTAGCAACCAGTTTCCGTTGACATGAAATTCAGCGCAAAAGGAATTACAAACACAAGGCGAAAAGCGTTGTGAACAATTATTTTACTACTTTCATGGCCAGGGTTGCAGCCTCAGGCTTTCTACAAAATTAATTGATTAGTTTGTTATAATGCGCTAGCTACATGGAGATATATGTGTCTAGTAATGTAAAATAATATTAATTGATTATAAAACCATTAAAATATGACCATATTGTTTTGTCCGAAGTGTCCTCATTTAACCGATTAAGCACTTGCTTTCCAATTTCCAATAATATGCACAGCTTTGTGTTTGTTTTAACAGAGTTGCCAGACAACACAAATTTTTCAAAGTTCGTTGACACAATTTTAAATAAAAAAAAAATTAAATCTAATCAATTAATCCACAAATTATTCTATTTCACTCATTGCAGATGTCTAAAGCTCCAGCTGTTGGTATTGATTTGGGCACAACCTACTCTTGCGTGGGTGTGTTCCAGCATGGCAAGGTTGAGATCATTGCCAACGATCAGGGTAATCGTACCACCCCATCCTATGTTGCCTTCACGGAGACGGAGCGTTTGATTGGTGATGCCGCCAAGAACCAGGTGGCCATGAATCCAACTCAAACGATATTTGATGCTAAGCGTCTTATTGGTCGCAAATTCGATGATTCGGCCGTGCAATCCGACATGAAGCACTGGCCCTTCGAGGTCGTTAGCGTTGATGGCAAACCCAAGATTGAAGTTACGTACAAGGATGAGAAGAAGACTTTCTTCCCCGAGGAGATCTCCTCCATGGTGTTGACCAAAATGAAGGAGACCGCCGAGGCGTACCTGGGCAAGACGGTTACCAATGCCGTCATCACTGTGCCTGCCTATTTCAACGACTCACAGCGTCAGGCGACTAAGGATGCTGGTACCATCGCCGGTTTGAACGTATTGCGTATTATCAACGAGCCAACTGCCGCGGCCATTGCCTATGGTCTGGACAAGAAGGCTGTTGGAGAGCGTAATGTGTTGATTTTCGATTTGGGCGGCGGTACCTTCGATGTCTCCATTCTGTCTATTGATGACGGCATCTTCGAGGTCAAATCTACGGCCGGTGATACCCATTTGGGTGGTGAGGACTTTGACAATCGTCTAGTCACTCACTTTGTACAGGAGTTCAAGCGCAAGCACAAGAAGGATTTGACCACCAACAAGCGTGCTCTGCGTCGTCTGCGCACCGCCTGTGAGCGTGCAAAGCGTACGCTGTCTTCCTCCACCCAGGCTAGCATTGAAATTGATTCGCTGTTCGAGGGTACCGATTTCTATACCTCGATTACGCGTGCTCGTTTCGAGGAGCTGAACGCTGATCTTTTCCGCAGCACCATGGATCCCGTGGAGAAGGCTCTGCGTGATGCCAAGCTGGACAAGTCGGCCATTCACGATATTGTGCTGGTCGGTGGCTCCACTCGTATCCCCAAGGTGCAGCGCCTGTTGCAGGATCTGTTCAACGGCAAGGAGCTGAACAAGTCCATCAATCCCGATGAGGCTGTTGCCTATGGTGCTGCCGTCCAGGCTGCCATCTTGCACGGTGACAAGTCGCAGGAGGTGCAGGATCTGCTGCTGCTCGATGTTACCCCCCTGTCTCTGGGTATCGAGACTGCTGGTGGCGTGATGAGCGTGCTCATTAAGCGCAACACCACCATTCCCACTAAGCAGACGCAGACCTTCACCACCTATTCGGACAATCAGCCCGGTGTGTTGATCCAAGTGTACGAGGGCGAGCGCGCCATGACCAAGGATAACAATCTATTGGGCAAATTCGAGCTGTCGGGTATCCCACCAGCACCACGAGGTGTGCCCCAGATTGAGGTGACCTTCGATATTGATGCCAACGGTATTCTGAATGTTACCGCCCTGGAGCGTTCGACCAACAAGGAGAACAAGATTACGATCACCAACGACAAGGGTCGTCTGTCCAAGGAAGATATTGAGCGCATGGTCAACGAGGCCGAAAAGTACCGTAACGAGGATGAGAAGCAGAAGGAGACCATCTCTGCCAAGAACGGTCTAGAGTCGTACTGCTTCAACATGAAGGCCACCCTCGACGAGGACAACCTGAAGAGCAAGATTTCGGACTCGGATCGCACCACCATTATGGACAAGTGCAACGAGACCATCAAGTGGCTCGATGCCAATCAGCTGGCCGATAAGGAGGAATACGAGCACCGCCAAAAGGAGCTGGAGGGCGTTTGCAATCCAATCATCACCAAGCTTTACCAGAGCGCCGGTGGTGCTCCCGGTGGCATGCCCGGCGGTATGCCTGGAGGTATGCCTGGCGCAGGCGCTGCTCCCGGAGCTGCTGGTGCCGGCGGTGCTGGCCCCACCATTGAGGAGGTCGATTAAACAACTCGCCAACCAAAAACCACACAATAAATCAACACAATTTACATTTTACACAAAACATATTCAACTTGGATTCTAAATTAGAAAATACCAACCACAAGAACAAACGACAACTGCTCTTGAAAGTTATATTATAATAATACAACTGCAACACGTAAAATATATAGAAATATAAAAAGAAACCAAACACTGCTCTAAACATATAAGATGATACATATATATTATATTATTATCGTACATTGATCGATCATCCAAACAATATTTGCTTGTACTTGAATAAAATAAATCAATTTGAGATTTGCAGAAAAGAAAATCTTTTAATACTTCGCACTAATACTAATTCCTTATACTAGCGGCCGATTGCGCCTAAAAGACTGCATAAATTGACTAATGCTTGATTCTGTTAAAAAAAAAATTAGGTGGTTTACTTTGAAAATGTAGCATACAACGGGGCTTTGTTTAATTTAGCAGAATTAGAAAATCATGACTCATGGCGTAAACGCAGCAATAGTCTCGAATCAACGCTTTTTTTGGTTTGTCTAATTAGTTAAGTCTTGAGTTCTTGATATATATATATATATATAAACTCCCGTCTACCTGTACCTCAAGGCTATTATTTCTGTATATTATATAGGTATAGGTATAGCTACAATTAAATACTTGCACTATTCTCCTTACCTGTCTGTATAAAATCTTATCCACATCGGACCATTTTATCATATATAATTTACGGAAGTTCCATTCGCAGGAAATTCCAATCGCGAAAACAGAGGTATGAAACCTTTTTTGTTTACCAAACGAACGTCCTCAAATTAATTTCCCAAGATCTTGGTTCAAATTCATTTGAGAGATGTTTCACGCTTATCGCAAAATTCGCTCTTGGATGAAAAATGCGAGTCGATGCTTAAATGGGCGTAGTACTACTATATATGGATATATTTGATTAATATAATTTTAATTTCAATCTACAACTAATAAAATAAGAAATATGTAATGCCAAAATTGGTTTAAATAGGAATTATGTTATAAACCCAATGGGTTTGCAAGAGACTTATATTTAAGACTTGACTATTCTGCAGTTTTAGTTTTAGTCCAACCAGGCAAAGTTGCCATCCTTATCCAGTCTGGCCACTGGGCTAATAACCGGCAACTCACTGTTGTTGGGCTTGTAGGAGCCCTTGTCCTGGCTCCATTTGTCCTTTATAACATGCACCGATCTCGCCTTGCGCCCAAAGACGCTACTCGGCTTCTCTTGCTCAATGTCGCCAGATTTTAGATTAAGCGTTATGTCTGTTTCCAGTTGCTGTTCCTCAAGTGTTTTCTGGGTTGTGCCCAACTTGTTACCCTTGCCACTCACTTGCTCCAGGTAGGATTGCCATTGCTGCAGTTTGTCGTCCGCAGCGCGAAGCTGCTCGATGCTGCGCTCATGACCCGGATTGATTCCAATGGGCTGAATGCCGATAATCTCTTGCAGATCGATCTTGATGGGGGCCAGCGCAGAAATGGCGCGCGACAGTCCAATTTGTGAGTGACGTATGCGATGTTCGGTGAGATCGGCGCCCAGCAGCTCCTCGTGCGGATCCATACGTATGGGTATTATTTTATTAATCACATAGAGCAACATTAACGTCGAACAAATGCCCCAGCAGGCCAAGCAAAAGGCGGACAGCGTTTGTATTCCCAGCAAATACCAACCACCGCCCTTGAACAGACCACTGCGTCCCTTAGTCGTGTCCAGAGGTATAGGATTGTCAGCGAATAGGCCAACGGCAAGGACACCCCAAATGCCGCAGACACCGTGCACAGAACTGGCGCCCACCGGATCATCCACACCCATTCGATCGAAAAGCGGCATGGTCACAACGCACAGCAGCGAGCCCAATGCACCAATGATCAGCGCTTCCCAGGCGCGATAAAGAAAGCAACCAGCAGTTATGGAGACCAGCGAGCCCAAAATGCCATTAATGAGATCCATGATGTCCATGCGGCCATCGTGTCGCCAGAACGAGTAACTTTAAATGGGTATGAATGATCAATTCTCGGCAAATCTTTGTTGGTTTTTCCTTCACTTACAGTGAACTAACAAATCCGCCGCCAAATGAGCCCATCATGGTCATTACAGCTGCACGCGCTGCATACTGCCACTTGGCACCGCTGACGCCGTAGGTGCTGCCTGAATTGAACGCCAGCCAGCCCCACCAGAGCACAAAGAGACCCATGCACGCATTAACCGGATTGCCCAGCGGCAGCGGGTCAATACCCTCGGCATAGCGTCCCAAACGCGGCCCCAACATGGCAGCCGAAGCAAAGGATGCGGCACCGCCTATTAAATGCACCGGACCGCTGCCGGCAATATCCACGGCGCCCAGATTGTTAAGGAATCCATGTTCGCCCCACACCCAGCCAGCGGGTATGCAATAGACAGCCGTATTCAGGAACGAGAACAAGCAGTACGCTTTGAAGTTGCAGCTGTGGAAAAGAGTGCATATCAGAGATGTCAAAACAGATCGATAATTGAATAAACATTAGAAGAATATCGAAAGGCTATGTCCGATAACTTTAGCACGTAAATATTTGAATTTGAAGGTCTAGTTAAGACACACTTGAATAGGGCAATATATTGAATCATATTTAAAAAGATATGGGTAACCCAGAAAGGGGAAACCCGAGGTCTCACTATACTCCTTACATATTTCCAATAACATATCAAATCGGATTACTATATGAACTGTTGGCCCCACGTCTTTAAATGTATTTAATCTGCATATCAGTATTTAATCTGTATATCAGTGTGGCAAATTATCGATAGCTGAATAATCATTAGATAAATATCGAAAGGCTATGTCCGATAACTTTAGCACGTAAATATTTGTATCTTGATTGAAGGACTAGTTTAAAAGGCTTGGGTAACCCATAGAGTGAAGCCCGAAGTCTCACTATACTCCTTAAATATAGGAACTATTGGCCACGCCTGCAAAAGTATTTAAGCGTGCTTAGGTATATTATTCTTTCTTCATTTATAATTAGTTAGAGTCCATTTTTAACGTACCGTTCGGCCATGGCGCCGCTTACAATCGTTGTGGACGTCGTCGCAAATGACAATTGAAACAGGAAGGCGGCAAATATTTGTCCCATCAGCTCGTCGCCAACGGGCGGATCGAGCAGAAAATCACCTATAGCTATGAATGGATTGGAGAATGGTCCGCGCCCGAAGCTCATGCCGTAGCCAAAAAGCCAATATGTGAAGCCGCCAAGCACAATATCAATTACATTCTTCATCATGATGTTCACCTCGTTCTTGATCGAAACGCAGCCCGATTCCAACATGCCGAAGCCCGTTTGCATTGTAAAGATGATAAAGGATGAGGTCAGCACCCAATTGGTGTCCTCAACGGACAGATCATATAGTCCTGGTATCACATAGCTGCTGTTCCGGATCACACCCTTCAATGCAGTCACCTGTGCGGCTGTAGCGTTCTCCAATTTCGAAGCCATTTTTTTGTTTAATGTTAAGTTCCGGTCCACGTCCGGTGTTCAGCCGATTTACTCTACGAGTGAAGTCTATGCAAATGTTTTTCGGAAGGAAAGTCACAAATTACATTCATTTAAGTTAAATGCAAGCTAATCACAGCCCCCACCAATAGCTATATTATTTAGCTGCATTTTGTGTGCGTGCTGTTTACAGCGACCGAGCTAATTATACTCTTTATCCAGGCAAATGAGCTGAGAGGGTATGCTAGTGCTTTCAACGTTTACGTAACAGGCCAGAGTGGTATATTAGACATTTTTCGTGCCACGTCTAGTCCCAGAGGTTCGCGGTGTAAATTTCTAAATCTATCTTCTTATCTATAGAGGTATATACTTCTTAAACACAAAAAATATAATATATAAATGGTTTTAACAACATTGAAAGGTGCACTAATAAAAAGTCCAAGTTACTCAAGTATAAAAAAGGGTTAAAAAGAGAAATAAGACTCAGAAAATGTATCTCAACATTTTTTTGCTTATATCTAGTTGAATGCCATTGGGTACAAGATATTCACCTGTGTTATTTATACCATTGTTTAACCCTGCGCACTTGATATTGCGATTAAGTTAATTTTGTTGTTGTTGTCATTGTATTTTGGGGCCGTTGCATGCCTCGGACACTTTGCAAATTTAATGAACACAATTCATTTAGCATGAAATTCAATTACGAGATATACCTATTTTCAACTTATTTTTGCTCTGTAGCCTAATACAGCAGGTATTTTACTTAAATTAGAATACACATACATAAAAATATGTTACCTTGATTTAATCACTAATTTGCGATTCAATTGTTATTTGTTCTTTGGCAGCGGCGCAGTGTTTATCCAATTAATACAAAAAATGCATTTCCAAAATATGTTTGTGCTAGAGCTTAAAGTGTTTTGTTGTGATTGAAGAACATTCCGACATAATGTTGACAATCGTATGTCCTTAACATGCTGCTGAAAAAAGTTGCTGATTCCGTTGCAGAGTGAGAGCAGGATTGCTAATGCTGTCCTCTATATTTTCAGGTTTCTGTTTTTCGTGTTTTTTATTAAAACCGTTTTTTTTACGAAATATAGCCTCTGTTGTCACGAAATGTCTGATCTGGCAAAATGTTAGAGAATGTAGTTAATAAACTACTGCTTATGAGTGAAGTAAGTGAATATTTTATAATTTAATATTATATATATACATTTCATATTTAATATATTCATATAATTTTAAAATAAGTTTACAATCCATTGAATACAGGACCCATGTTAGTCTTGTGGTAAGAAGCTTGGAGCCGAAAAATAAACTTTCGTTCAATAAAACTTTGATGTAAAATCCTCATTCGGCCGTGTTCGGTTCTTAATTACATTTTCTATCCATGCGTTGTTAAGGTACTAAATTATGATTGTACAATTAATAAAAAAAAATATAAAAAAATGATAAAAAAATGTAATGTAATGTAATGTAAAAATGTAAAGCTTTGAGCCGCATTTTGCATCTAAGATTATTAATTAAATAATATTTTATAGATATAGATCATTGAAAACGTTTTTGAAGTTGTGGGTGGAATTTTTAAAAAAGCTGAATCACGTATTCATAACGGTTTTAAATAGTAATTTAAAAATGAGTTTGAAGCAGATCGAATGAAACTTAAGACGTCACCATAAAAAGCTTTGACTTACCAGCCAATTAGTAAAAAGCAATATTTATGTATATCATAATTCATGGATACAATTCTCGTTTTATCATTATGTATAGCATACTTCTAGATGCATTCGCTTACGTTAACGTCTTCCTATCTTGCACCGACGCCCAACAAATGTAACGTCACTTCCTTTTCTCTTTACGTTGAAATTGGTATTTTTAGTATTTCATTTCAGTTACAAATACACTTTGGTTACTTTCGTTTTACCGTAAACGGTCACACAGATAAATTTTAGCACTAGTTGGTATTGCTCGAACCTTCGTAAAAACCGTTGAAAATATCAAATAAAAACTGTGAAACTAATAACTAATAGTAAATTGTGCAGTTGAAAGTGGAAATTAACGCCAGCAAAATGTATTTTTTGGCAGTGCTTGCGTTTATTGGAAATGCCAAAGGTAAAAGGATATAGTGAAAACTGTAGAACTTTATACACACACAAGCATAAAGCCATATCCTGGCTGTGCTAAAGAGAGCAGGACAGTAATAACGTATATTTTTTTCTTCATTATTTTAAGCCTCGTAGTTGAAATGCATATGACACAAATATGTATTAAATGAGATCTTTATAGGGCAGTGCAATAATTTTTCTATCCAAAATCAATTTTCAATTGATGTTCTCTATCTACAATAACTGTAATATGGTCCATGGCCACAGCAGAGTTTCACAGTTTATGGGACACGGGGCACACATACACATATACACATACAAGAGCTGCGCTCTTTTTCTCTGCCAGCCAGCAGGCAGCAACTCCTGCAAAAAGGGGCATAAAGCTTTTCCACTGGGCGCTGCGAAGGAAGTGGCGTGCAAAATGTTGCGTTAGTGCTGCTGCCCATTCCGCTCTTACTTTCTCTCTCCCTCTGTCTGCCTCTGTTCTCTTCGCTTGCTCTCAGTCTGTATGTATGTGGGTGGCTGTTGGGTGGTTTGCCGTGTGTGCTTGTTGTTGCATGTATGTATACTCTGCCATGTGTTTGGGTGTGTACGTGTGAGGCTGAATTGGGTGTGTGTGTGTATGTGAGTTGCAAAAATTTCACTTGGAAACTCGCAGCAATTTTTTCCTTTTGCGGGGGCGCAAGGCACACTGTTTGGCATTTTCGTTCGTGTGCTTCCTGCCTAGCCTTTCGCACTCGTGTTTTGTGGTTCGTGTCGGCTGTGCCAGTGCATGTTATGCAGCCCCTACCCACCTCTCCGTTGTTATCCACCCTGCCGCAGAGCAAATGCTGCATATATTTGTTTTTAATTTGAATTTGCTTTTGCTGTTTAGCATTTAAATTATGTTGAAAATGTAATGCGTTTGCATTTAATTTCATTCCAGTGATAAATGTTATGGCTATGTATGTCGATATGCATATATGTATCGATATATGTATCTGAATATGTGTGTGCATGGCGAAAGGGGGGCACAGCACCTGCTGCGTTTTATGTATGTGTGTGCTTGTGTGTTAATGTTCGCATTTGAACGAAAAACGGTAACTGTTAAATCAGTAGCGAGGCGAAACTTGGTCAAGTGTGTCAAAATAAAGAAATACAGTTGCTCGGAAACACATACATATATGCAATTATGTGTGTGAATCTTTAGCTAAAACTCTACTTGAACCTAATATATACATAACTAAAGCTTAAAACTTTGTTGTTTTTTTTTTGTTTATCATTTTTTTACAATTTAATATTAATCGAAAATTGATAACTTAAACATTTATAAAATATCGCATATTACTTTTGTGATAATAGTTAAAATTGAAGTCTCTTTAATGCTATTATTAAATTTGTTCAAAGTACTAATTCATACTACAAGAAATTAGAAACTAGAAGTTTCCATCAATAAGAAAAGCCATATCAATAGCTTAAATCCTCCGACCCTTAAATATTTTAACTATTATTTTTCTCTTTCTATACATCTTTGCAATTTTCAATTCACAATTGATACAGTGAAAAAATGTATAAATATCTTTTGTCAATATAAAGAATCGAATCAATTTTAGATATTTTTAAAGAGTAGTAGAATTGTTTAAGAGTAGTATACATCATAAAGTTGTAGTATGCATGTGCCTAGATAACTTACCAAATGTTCCACTGGACTACTTACATAGCGAGTAATTGTATCTTAATAAAACAGGTGCCACTCAGTTTATTACGTTTCAAGAAAGTTATAATCGAGTTAAAACCCCGATTAACTCATAAAATCTCGGAGCTTTAGTGCAGTAGAAAAAACATTTGGTACCCTAATACAACATGAGCCAAATTCCCACATTTTACAATAAAAATGTGTTAAAGTAAATTTTAAAGTTTTATGCTATTTATTCTGTTAAAGTGCAATATTAAAATACTTCTTAGAACATAATTTCTCGTTTCTTTTTAGCAATCTACATATATATTTGTATATATTATTTATTTATTTGATTGTTATTATTAATAATGAATAACTAAAATTAACTTTCGATGTTATTTTTTGGTCTTTAGATAGCAACGCGGTGAGCTCTAGCCTTATCCCGGGCGGCCATTGTCGCGATTACAATGGCAAACTCTATGAGACGGGCATGCATTATATGCCCGGACCGGACTCGTGTCGTCTGTGCATCTGCGACAGCGGGCTGCCCAAGGCGTGCAAAATGGTGTTGTGCGAGGCGTTTAGTAAATGCAAGTCCTTTCAAACGGTCGGCAGCGGCAACAATTGCTGCGAGGTCATCTGCCTGGACGATCAGTTCAGCGATGGCAGCACCGACTTTGGCATTTGACTGGTGGCCAGTGGCATTACAGCCACGCTGTCCTTATCTTTGCTCTTCTTCCTGGTGAATCGTTTGCGACAGCGTAAGATGCGGGCACGCGAGAATCGACAGAACACGGAGGATCAGCGCAGCATTGTGGGCAGCATTGGGTGAGTTTCAAGTTAAAGAATTTCATAGCGTCCTTAGTTGAATTGGCATGCCTTTTCAGCTATATTGCCGGCAACATGGGCTACATGGAGGGCAATCTGAGTGCAATAGATTATTCGTATGGCGGCGCCACCACCCATTATCCACTCTGGAAGCCACCAAGCGGCTATTTTCCGCGTGGAGAGGCCCCACCACCCTATGAGGAAGCCGTGGCCATATCTCAGGCGGAGGCGTTAAGCGCTCAGTGCACCGTTACACTGCCCAGCCATGTCCAGCGCCAGGCTTTGGCCAGCGTCAGCCAGCAGCAGCAGCAGCTTCAGCAGCAACACCAACAGCAGCAGCAACAATTGCAGCAGCAGCAGCAGCAATTGCAACAACAGCATTTGCAACAACACACGCTACAGTTGCACACACAACCCCAGCAGCATCCACACCCACATGCATATGCGCAGCAGATGGTGCCTGTTACTGCGTCGCATCCCCACGCACATCAGTTGAGCGCCGCTGCTGCAGCTGCTGCTGCACAGTCCAATCAGTACACACAGAGCACTACAAATCTGATTAATATAAATATCAACAGCGGTGGCGTCACCACAATTGCCACTGGCGAGAATCATCAGCCGCCTTATAGCTTACAAAGCGAGCAGCAGCAGCAGCAACAGCACCAGCTGCAGCAGCAACAGTTGCAGCAGCAGCAGCAGCAGCACCACCAGTTGCAACAGCAACAACAGCAACAGCAGCAACAGCAGCAACAACTGCAGCAGCAACATCAGCTCAGCCTGGAACAGCAGCATCAGCAGCAACTGCAGCAATTGTCGGGGCCAGCGCCGGCGGCCAACAATTCGATTTGTGTGCAGACCCTGCCCACGCCCAAGCCCAGTGTTAGCAGCGAGTGCAGCTATAAAAATTGTCATCTTAATATAAGCGCCAGTGTAACCACCGCTGCCACAACTGGCAGCGCTTCCAGCTCCTTGGCGTATGCAGCGGCGCGTCGCACGCCACGCGGCTCACAAGAACTGCTGCACCAGCAACAGCCACAGCAGCAGCAGCAGCAATATCTCACTGTAGCCGACGTGGAGATCAATGCAAGTGCCAGTGCAGCTAGCTATCATTCATTGCCCGCTACAAGCGAGATGCTGGCCACGCCCACACACCATCTTACACAGCAGCAGCAACATAATCAGCAGCAACAATTGCTGGCAGCAGCATTGTCCACAACCGCCATAGACATGTTGCCGCCAATGGAAATAGCGACCATAAGCACAGCAGCACACAGCACATCCAGCAGCAGCGGCAAAGCAGATTCGGTTACTCAAACGCTGCCTCTGCCTCAGCAGCAGCAGCAGCAGGGTAGCAAAACGCCATCCAGTTCGCGTCGCTATCATCGCACCATACCGCGCTATTTTGCCATGGCTGATCCACTGCAGGTGGTCACCGTCAAGCCAAAGTCCAGTTCTAGCTCCAGCGGCAGCGTCAGCTCTAGCTCCACGGACAAGGCCACAAAGAAGCCCATGTGCCAGTGCCCCATACAGCATGTGCCCATGTCCTATATGGGCAGCAATGCCAATGCGAATGCAAATGCATTTCTCAACGGCGCCGGCAAACTGTTTGCCTCGACCGGCAACAATGCCTGCGCCCTGTCACCCAGCGCCAGTACAAGACACACCGCCACGCTGGCCTATGGCCAACGCGCCAAGTCTACAACTAATCTGCAGCAGCAGCAGCAGCAGCAGTACGGCCAGGAGCTACTCATTGGCAGCGGCAGCGGTACGCGCAATCCCAGTGCTCAGGAGCCCAAAATTGCCACCATTTCGAAGCAGGTAGGCGATGAGCTGCAGCCACATCCTTCGCACACTGCGAGCAGTGTCTCGGCTATAATACCGCCGCCGCCGCTGCCGCATCACGAGGATGTCAGTGCGCCTCCAATTGTGCTCGGCCGTGTTCAGAAGCGTTCCAGTAGCTCGAGCAGCTCTGCCGAACGTACACGTAGCAGCAGCGGGGGCGGACGCAGTGCCTCCAGCAGTGGAGCGGCTGCTGCTGCTACCCAGACCGGTGTCGATGTGCTCTCCAGCGCCTATTTGAATCGAAAGGTGAGTTCGAAATGTAAGTAATCCCATTGCGAATGCTTAACTTCGAGAATTATATTATTCGTTCACTATTATGTGCACATATGTATAAGTATTAAGGCCAAAAACAGTTCTGAATAGTCTAATCTTTAATGAATGACTCGCACAGATACATATGTATACATATTTGCCGAAAAACGGGGAAATGAAACCAAAAATCTCTTATTCATTATTATAATTATACATTACCTTATTTAGTTAGTTAATAAATTATCTAGTTTATAGTCCTTAGATTTTTGAGATGAGGATCTTGTTGTACAAAAATCAAATATACGTGCTTTGGTAGAGAGTGCCCGACTACGAGATACCCTGTACACCGGGGAATACAAGCAAACATATAAGGACTGCAAACCCAAGAGAGAAAAAGCTAGATGGCTCGGTTCACGGTCTGAGCTAATTTGCCGCCAATAAACGTTTCTGCTTTTCCACATCCGTGATCCCAGGATTCGGTTCTAACGTTGCCTTGTTATATATTTTGAACATTTTAATGAAACACTTCAACTTTTTCTTTTCTATTCGCTTTTCAAATGAAAGAGATAAATATTTTTGTACTGTTTCGGCCTTAGTTTCGGTTCATAGTGAAAAATATATTGTAGATCCGTGTTCGAAACGGTTCGGATTAAAAACGGATGCAGCCTTCTCACAAGACCTCATCTTAAAATTCCAGATTTGTCGATTTCGGAAAACGGGACGTTCTATTTATGATTTGAGCTATAGATCTCCAGCTCTAATCAGAGGTCTAGAATACCTCAAAATCAAAACTCTTGAAATAAAATACGAATGAAAAAGTATTTAAAGTCAAATATTGGTTTTTAGACGAAAAGATTACTAAATATTTTTATTGTCGCGCGTTTTGGTGGTTTCATGCTCCGTAACAAAAATTATAGTATTTATTTGCCTTTGAATTTTTGCTAATCTCGTTGGCAATCCTTGCAGGTTGATGCCTACTTGAATCTAACGCAGAAACAACAGCAACATTTTTATAACCAGCAAGAACAACAACAACAACAACAGCAGCAGCAGCACAGCTCGATCAACGATCAAAGCAATCCTACTTTACCACCGAAACTCTACAAAAGCCAAACGAATTTAAAAACAGCAACAACAACAGCAACAACTGCCACCAGCAGCTGCAGCAGCAGCAGCGGGGGCGGCAGCAACAACAATGCGGTGGCCACCATTTATACGCTAAGCAAATCGACAATTAGTAGCGCGTATCAGCGGAAGGAGCAAACGGCAACGTTGACGCTGCCCCCGACTAGTCCCTCGTCCAGCTGCGGCGAGAAGACGAACAGCAAGATCAACTCGAGCACATTTTATCCGCTGGCCAACAACCATGTGACCTATACGCTGCCCAAGCACATAAGCGGCAAGATCTCGCTGAACAGCACCATCAACAGCGTGGTCAGCAAAGTACCCTCGGTGATCAGCATACCGCCGCTGGAGAACAACAATGAGAAGACAACGACGACTGGTAAAAGCACCACACTGCCAAAAATACTGCGCGTAAAACGTGACAGCGAAAGGAGCTCACCGGCGGCAGCGATCACGGGTGCAACGGCAGCAACTAGCAGCAGCTTGGCCATTGCCCATTGCCAGATGCCCAGCTATCCGCAGCTGGTGGCCAAGGTGCAGAGTGGGCGCAGTAGCACGCCCAGCAAACAGCTACCTGTGTGCACCACATCGAAGAACTGTTTGAATCCTAACGAGCATTTCTTGCCCAACGACACCAGCCTGGACGACGACTATCTAAGCGAGTGCGAAAACTGCAAGATCGCACAGAGTGCCAAATATTATCTGAACGCGGAGCTGAGCGGTGGTGGGGGCAATGCGCTAACACCGCAAGAAACCATGACGCTGCAGCGCAAATCTCTGGAGGAGACCAAGGAGGAGCCACACGACAGCTTCTATCGCAGCTCGCACACGCTGCCCAGCAATGCCAAAAAGCATGGGTATATATATACGATATACAACATTTTATATGTAGAAAACATTAATTCATATATTTTGTATTTTTTATGCGCCTCCACAGTGTCAGCAAAAACAACAATCGCGAGGCGTGGCAATTCTCGACGATACCCGCGGCCAGTTCATCGGATGAGGATGTCAACGAATGAGATTTGAGCCATTTTCTTTAAGATGCCACACCCAAATCCAAATGCCAAAATGTGCATCCTAAAGAAAACGCAGGCTTCTGATTCTATATCCAACCCAAAAGGCATATACAAACAACTAGATAACACCCGAATGAAAAAATACAATATATTTGTAAAAGATTACGTTCTAAAATTAGGTATATACTTAAATATATATGTACTTTAAAATTGCTCAAGCAACATGATTATATGTACAGATATATATAAATATATGAATATAAATATATATATATATATATATATATATATATATATGTGATACGCTTGTTTTGGGGACAGACAAAAGGTGGGACTTTCGCTATGTTTTTCTATTAATAAGCCCCCAAATAATCATCTCTCTGAGAATGGGGCATTTTGGAGCTTTCTGTTAAAAAATATGTGCCTTTGGTCATAGAGAGATTTATTTGGGGACACGATATGTAAAGATTATTTCTGGGACCGAGTCTTCAAAACTGACTTTAAATACTTTGCCAAAATATTATATATAATCATAATCCATTAGAAAGCTTATTTTGGGGACAAAAATTTAGAGTTGCCACCTGGTCCAAAGTCTTATTGGCTAAAGCTATTTTTAGGGACAGGGAACGGTGGAATGAATTGGATGAGTAACGATTATTTCGGGAACACTATATGAGACGTCCTTATTGGGGACAATGTCCCTCAAATAACTCTAGCGCATATTACCGAATATACAAACATTTTAATATGGAATTAGAACACGGAAACTTTTACTTACTCCCATTTGAGTAAGTATTTGAGATTTTTATTTTTTGTTTACCGCCAACCCATTAAAAATGTATGAAAGTGGTATAACGAAGTTTTGCTTATTTAGCAGTGTAAAATAAATTTAATCTATATCTATTATTAACGAAATAGTGTCGATTTAGACACGCCCGTCACTCCATTTGTCTGTCGGATCAATATTAAACGAAATTATTGATCATCATAAACTTGTATGAAAAGTAAACATGCATATTTTATATATTTTGTTATAAGATTATTTTATTTTATTTTTATTGTTTTAAAACATTACAAAGATTTTTTCCTCCCCTCCGCTTTTCTCTGGTTGTCCAGAAAAGTCTTTAGTTGAGCTGAAGTGCGGCCGCGAAAACATGGATTCTCATTTATTATTTGGGAACATTTTTTAAGCGATGGCAACTTTTCCAATGTTTCTAAATTCCCAAATATGTTTTCCAGTTGCTTGCGTTCGCCTGGGCCCCATCGTACACGGCGCGTTTTTCCAAACGGTGACGCTGCAATAAAAAAGTTTATTTATATAAGTAAATGAATAAGTTTTGATTTGTCATGCCGTTAGTAATTGATCTGTTAGAGATTGAGCTCCATAAAAGTGAAGGACATGAGCTTTAACCGTGGGACTCTTTGTATTGTTATATTAAGTATTATACTGAAATTGATTACTTGTTGGCTATTCCGTAATACTTACTGCTTCGACGTTTTACCATTCTTTTGGGAGGCGAATAATTTGCGTCATCTGACGTACATACAAACTCCGGCGGCTCTTCATCATTTGATTCATTTGAGCTTTCTGAATTATTAATTTCAGCTGTAAGAAAAAGTACGTTAAAGCATATATAATTTTTTTAAATATTTTGTTTGTTTGCTTGAGGTCCGGGTTTGTTTAAATAAACAGTTGAAAAAAATTTAACTTAATATATTGCTTGCAATAAAATTAGCAAAATATTAAATTAAATAGTTTTGAACTTCGGACTAGCCATACCAACAAAATATTTTAATTATTTTAAACCATCACTAATTTCTTAAATAGTGAAAGTATCTTCGATTGTATCGAAGTTTCGATTCTTGCAAAAATTCTTTTGAAGTATTCTTCTATAGCATTGCAGCTAGGACTAAATAAATTAACTCACTGTCGGGATTAGCTTCTACAATTTCAGCATTTTCCTCTTCCATGTTCATTGCTGACATAAGTAATTGCGAAACTTGGGTCATCTCTGCTACAGAGGCAGGAACACGATAGTAATTTTTATGGATGTCTTTATGGTGACCCATAAAGCTCGCCAAATAATCAATTTGAATGTCCTTAACATTAGATAAAGAGGTATGTGTGGCCAATTGCTTTCGCAGGTTTGTGCCTCTAAGGGATTCAGGGCAACGTGCACCACATTCATTTGCGAATTTTTCTAGTATTGGACACGCACGAATATATTCTTTTCTTAGTGGCCGCGGGTTTGGCACACTAAAGATATATGTAGTTGGTTTATTTATTGTGCGTTTTCCATATTCCAGAATATTGTCTATGCAATAACGATCCCATGGTGTAAAAAGAACTGGAACTGTACGGTTTTTTTTGCCACGAATAATCACCCTGGTGAAATTTTGAGAAATGTTTCTCATTTTGGCAGACATGTCTTTATACAGATTAGAATTAGCTCTATCGTCGATGTCCCCAATAGAATGAGCAGTTCTGTAACTCTCAAGAGTAAGCCTTTCCAGTTCGCCAACTCTGCGCCGATTGAAAATAAGCAAACTGATCAAAGTGCTCTGCTTTAACGAGGTTAATGACAAAACGTTGAATTTGCTGTTTAGCTCATTCAAAGCTTTAGCGGATAAATCATGAACAAAATCATACAGTAATTTTATGTCCTCCACAGTAGGTATTAATACTTTGACAGCTCTATGTTTTTTTGTTTGATCCTCAACAGCTCTTTTATTTATGTTTAAATTTATTTCTGTTTCCCACAGAGATAAGAAATCATTCACTAATTTTTTCCTGCTATCATCGCCATCTTTAATACTCTGTGCTCCTAATATTCTCGCACATTTTTTGACCAAGCATGTTAGTGTTGTCGCTGCAGTGGGCTTCATAAAACTCAAATTATCGTAATTAAACTCAGCAACAGAACGAATTCCAGAAATCACGGCATCATAATATTTAGGGCAAATGACATCTTTCAGCTCTATCACGTCGGGGCATTCCGATTTTATCGCGATTAAAAGGCGACTTAGATAACGCATATTTGCCCTTATCATATCGTGCTGTACTTCCGTGTGTTTCATGGCTTCTGAATTTCCGAACAATATTATTAGATGATCATACATGATTGTCCTACTGATAACATCGTCATTAAGGACAGGCATTATTTTATTACGCAATATAATATTTGCAGCACTATGCATATAGCCTGTAGTGCCTCGTCCAGATTTTAGTATATCCCGGTTGCCTTTTTTATGGATATTACTGCTACAATTTTTTATGTGATTCCGAATAGTTATCTTTGGAAAATAGGCCTTACATCCAGTGCAGCAAACAAAATCTAAAGCACCTCTTTTTGAGTTTTCCCTCAATTGACGAGGCACTATAAAAGTCCCTTCATTGTAATTTGCATCAGTGTTATAAATGAAATCGCCTTTTTTTCGTAAAGCGTCAAGCAATTTTATTCTTTGCTGGCTGCCTTTTGGTAAACTGCTGATCTCTCTAACTTGTGGTTCAACCTTATGTTTAAGTTCTATGTGGCGTGCAAATTTTGTTTGCAAAGTTTTACAAAATATGCAAAAGTGCCGTTTACATTTTTTCTGGTTCTTAGCAATTGGGACAGTAATTTTTCTAACATCATACAACGGTTCCGTTGGTTCGTAAGAAACGGATGTACTATCCATAAATGACGATGATTTATCTGGGAAGTATGTCATGTCTGAAGCAGCTGACTCCATCGTTATATTGGAGTTTAAAAAAGTTGAGTCTACTGTGCAATAAAAATATATAAAAAAGTATGGTTAGAAATTTATTACGTACACCTATTCAGATGATGAGGAAATAATACTTAATATATTTGCAAAAAAAAAAAGATTGTTTCTCTCCGGGCTACCTAGTATTTTTTATTGGAAGCTTTAAGAGGATTGACGTAGAGTTTTTCATGAATATATTTTAAGAGAAAATTGTCTAAGTATCCGTCCACTGCATACAACATTTTCTTCTGGCAAAATCACTAAATATTAATTTTTATTTCTTGTTTTATTTTTTCATATTTTAACACAATTATTTAAACAATTGCCAATACTTTTGTATCTATGAAAATATGCAAATCTAATGTTTTTTATTTGTGAGGGTTGAAGCAACTAAAAATGTTCCTTTTTAAATGCGATCAAATAGGTTGGGTATATAAAACAACATATAAAAAACATATGCAATAAAATAATAATTAAGTTATTCTGTAATTTTTATTTTTTAGTTATCAAATTAACATCCTTCTGCTGACTTCAGCAGTTAAACTAGTTCCCTTCTATGACAAACTATGAAATTTGCACTCACCCTGTACGCTGCAATCAGTTTGCATATCTGCTCTTGCATCCAGACTATTTTGACCAGCGCCTATTGAAAAAAATGAGAAAATATTTGTTGTAAAATAATACTTATAACACATATGTATGAAAAAACAAATATAAGTTGAATTAAATATTTATCCTTACCTTTGGCGCCCCAGTTTGTGGCCATATCTTCTCCAACATCAGCACTTTTTGGATTATCAGCTTCTGTAAAAATAAAAAAAAAAATTATATTTTTTATAAAATTTTTAGCGAATTTGTGCAAGAAATCCAATTATTTTTATAAAAGCTGTCGGCATGGCTAAATTTCATAATGTTTTCATTCTATAGACCCGTAATTTTATAAGAACAAAAGTATTTGCATTTTTTCATATATATAGTTTTCATTTTAATATTATTTTTGATATGGTGTTATTTTTCTTTGTCAAAATGCACATCTGTAGGCACCGTAATTTTAATCTCAGAAAATTTATTAGAAAAAATTGTTTAAAGATCAATTTATTGTTTATTTTGCAAAAATGACCGCCAAGAAGTGTGAAACCACCGTAGAGCAGCGAAAATATATTAAATTAAATACATATAATAAATTAACGCAAGCATGGCAGATCCTTTTAAGAATTTGCCGAGCTATTGGACAAAAGTAAATCAGTTATAGACGAGCGGCACAAAATTGATCCAAATGTTTAATGAAAACTGATGCATTTAATGACAAATCGAAAATAAAATGGCAAAATCACTAAACAATAATTTTTATTTTTTGTTTTATTTTTTCATATTTTAACACAATTATTTAAGCAATTGCCAATACTTTTGTATCTATGAAAATATGCAAATCTAATGTTTTTTATTTGTGAGGGTTGAAGCAACTAAAAAT